TATTACATTATCTGATCAGATAAAATGACCCTGAGAAATCCTATGTTCAAAGGTGCCAAAAATGCAAAAATGTCAAAATATCTAAAATTAAATTTCAATAACTCAATACATATTATACATCGTTAGAATCGTAATTAGGTCAGCTATCTGAATCTGTAATCTTTTTGTAAAAATTTGTTTAAATAATAAAGTAATAGAGCATTTTGCAAAATTTCACGATTTTTCGACTTTTTTCGATTTTCAGTCCCTTTTTTATCATATTCCAGACATTTCAAACTTCAAAGTCTTATTGGATGGCATAATTCACAAGACTATCGAATGGACTCTCGATAGAGAAAGTTAAAAAAAAAGTTGCGGTTAAGATTTCGAGATACAGGCGTCCAAAAACGCTCCAAATCAGAAAATTCTTGATTTTCAGCTTGTCATATTTTGCTGCTTGGTCATAGTATCCGTATAAATTGGGCATCATACGACAGTCCATTCCTCGGGCCACTCAACGAAAGCTTAATTCGTTTAATCCATTGATACTGGACGGACAAATCAAGTTTTCCCCCAAAACACCCATTTTTTGCGTTTTTTTCGAAATATCTATCATTATTTCGACTACTTCCGGTTTCCGGATCGTTTTTAAAATTGCTTTATGCAGCGGTCTGACTATATAGCTTTATGTTCCAGGAATTTCAGAACTATCGATTTATCCTTTCCAAAAAATATAAGGGTTGGGAAATGGGCAGAAAATTTGAAAAAAATCGAAAAATAAAGGGCGATAACTCGGAATGAAACTTACATTTCTGGTATCGGATGGTCTTCAGGTATCCAAAAATGTAGGTCAAATTTGAAAATTTTGAAAAATAAAAAAAATTGTTTCTTAAACAAAATTTTTCATTTTTCGAACGCTTGAAGTCAGTGACAAAGTTTCGAAATTTCGAAATTTTCAACTGCTATCGTCCGAGAAAAGACTCAGAGTTTCTGAAAATTTCATTTGTATGAAAATAGGTACAGAATTGACGAAGCTACGGCCGTTTTTTAATTTTTATGCACTGCACGAAATTCGGCCACTTCCGGTCTGCGCAGAATTTTCAAAATTGTTTTAAGGAGTAGCCACCACCTGGTTTCCCGATAGAAAATTTGGTTCCAGATCGATATCTGTTTCCGATCATGGAGAAATAGGCTCCCGCGGAAAAAAATAATAATAATAATAATTTTAGTAAAAAAAATAGTCTTTCAGACAGTCTGAAAGCCTAATAACTAGACCTGCAAGCAGCACTGAACCGGCTTTCAGGAATCAGACAGGAAGTGTGTCATACAATAGCCCATTTATCGAGCTACCAAACGATACTTTAGATGTTTTGATCCGGTCACACCGACGGCGAAATCACGATTGTTCCAAGAGCACCGATTTTTTTACTGTCTTTTTTTTTAAAATATCGAATATTTTTTTGACTACTTCCTGTTTACGGATCATTATCGGGATAGATTTAACAAGTGGTATGGGAACTTAACTTCCTGTACCAGAAGTTTCAGAAAGATCCATTTGACAGTATTACCTCCCTTATACCATTAGAAGCAGATTTACAGATATAACGATTTTTCGACTTTTTTCAAAGATTGAGGCCCTTTTGAACTATTTATACTATATTGAGGCTTTTAAATTTGGATTCACACCACAGACCACCGTTAGGACTCTAAGTAACATAAGTTTAAGAAAGAAAATAAAGAATTTTTCGAAATAAAAGCGCCTGAATAGGCTCAAAAAAGGAAAATAATAGATTTTCAGCATTCTATTATATATTGCCTAACCCGAGAATTTTTACCATTTAGATATCATAAGATTGTCCATTGTTCGAACTATCCAATGACACTTTAGTTGTTTTGATTAGGTGGAATATGGCATAGTAATCACTTTTTTCGCAAGATCGCCATTTTTTTTTACTTTTTACGGTTTTTTTTCCTCAAAATATCGGAAATTTTTTCGACTACTTCCGGTTTTTGGATCATTGTCGGGATAGCTTTAACAAGTTGTTTGGTTACCTTTAACCTTCTGTACAAGAAGTTTCAGGATAATCCATTCAGCTGTTTTCCAAAGAAAGAAAATTAGAAGATCATTTTCAGTAATTTAAGGATTTTTCAACTTTTTTCCAAGATTGAGGTTCTTTTTGGACCACTTATATTATTTCAATGCTTTTATTTTTGGACTCACGCCATAGTCCACCGAAAGGACTCTGAGTAAAAAAAGGTTAAGAAAAAACATAGTTTTCGTTTTCGAGAAAATGGTGTCTCAAAATGCTCCAAACCGGAAAATACTAGATTTTTGGCGTACCATAATTTATTTTCTAGCCATCTAAATCATATCATTCAGATGTCATATGATAATCCATTAATGGGCTATCCAGCGACAGTTTAGTTCTTTTGGTCCGCTAAGATCTGATGGAGAAATAAAGTTTTTCGCACGAGCGCTAATTTTTTTTAACCCTTTTCTTCATTTTTTGAATACGTCCGGTATGGAGATTATTGTCGGGATAGTTTTAATAACCAATTTGGGCAATTAGATAGCCACGGGACTCTGTAATGATATATTACATTATCTGATCAGATAAAATGGCCCTGAGAAATCTTATGTTCAAAAGTGCCAAAAATTCAAAAATGTCAAAATATCGAAAATTAAATTTCAATAACTCAATACATATTATACATCGTTAGAATCGTAATTAGGTCAGCTATCTGAATGTGTAACCTTTTGGTAAAAATCTGATTAAATAATAAAATAATATAGCATTTCCCAAAATTTCACGATTTTTCAACTTTTTTCGATTTTCAGTCCCTTTTTTATCCTATTCCAGACATTTCAAGGACTTATTGGATGCTTTCATGCACAAGACTACCGAAAGGTCTCTCGATAGAGAAAGTTAAAAAAAAATGTGTAGGTTAAGTTTTTGAGATAAAGGCGTCCAAAAATGCTCCAAATCAGAAAATACTTGATTTTCAGCTTGTCATATTTGGCTGCTTGGTCATAGTATCCGTATAAATTGGGCATCATACGACAGTCCATTCCTCGGGCCACTCAACGAAAGCTTAATTCGTTTAATCCATTCCCCAAAACACCAATTTTTGGCGTTTTTTTCGAAATAACTATTATTATTTCGACTACTTCCGGTTTCCGGATCGTTGTTGAAATTGCTTTATGCAGCGGTCTGACTATATAGCTTTATGTTCTTGGACTTTCAGAAATATCGATTTATCCATTCCCAAAAATATAAGGGTTGGGAAACGGGCAGAAAATTCGAAAACAATCGAAAAATAAAGGGAGATAACTCGGAATGAAACTTATATTTCTGGAATCGGATCGTCTTCAGGTATCCAAAAATGTAGGTCAAATTTGAAAATTTTGAAAAATAACAAAAATTGTCTCGTAAACAACGTATTTTCAAAATTCGAACGACAAAAGCCATAGTTGAATGTTCGAAATTGAAAAATGTGAGATAGCCCATATCTCGGAAAAGATTCGGGGTTTCCGAAAATGTCATTTGTTTGAAAATAGGTAAAGAATTGACGAAACCACGGCCGATTTTCAATTCCGGAAAAAAGTACAAAATTCGGTTACTTCCGGTATGCGCAGAAGTTTCAAAATTGTTTTATCAAGTAGCCACCACATGGTTTCCAAATAGAAAATTTGGTTCCAGATCGATATCTGTTTTCGATCATGGAGAAATAGGCTCCCGCGGAAAAAAATAATAATGATAATAATTTTAGTAAAAACAATAGTCTTTCAGACAAAGTCTGAAAGCCTAATAATAATAATTTTAGTAAAAACAATAGTCTTTCAGACGAAAGTCTGAAAGCCTAATTATGAAAATCCATACGATGGGACTCTTGGTTATTAACTACATGTATTAATCACAGTTTAAGTTAACATTTCATATATCATAACTTTTGTCACAAGTACGACTCCATTTTGAAATCCATGGCGAATATGGAATTTTCTGATGGCATTGCGTAGATTGGATCATGCCTTTGAATTCTATTACCGTACAAGGTCCAGTGTTATATGAGGTATTTTTCCTGTGCAGTTCCCCCTTGTAAGTGATGCAAGACAGGGGGCCTGACAAGGACAGCTGTCTAGTCATTCGGATGGTATGAAAAACCGAGGTCCTGTGTACATGTATTTGAAAGATCTCTTGACAGTTGGAATTCGATATAAAAGTAGGCCTTGGTTCCACTGTCCGGGGAAAATTTCCCTCATAGCACACTGTACGGCGGCCTGTCTTCATTAGCCCAGTTTGGAGCAGTACCGTAGGACGTTATATCCCATTTCATAATTGGGCGTCTCCGTAACACAATGCTTTATTTTGATTGCAACATACGTGGCTGTTACAATTTGTCAACCTTTATCTAACTTTAACATCTTATGATGGTTTCGCTCAGCATGTGACATGTACAATGTTTTGATGAACTCTGTCCAAAATACAAGCAAAAACCATGACTTTTCAAAAGAGAACTTTTTTATTCGTTAGAATATTTAATTGCATAATGGATTTTATTTAACCAGTATAATTTCAAAGTCATAGGCAAGTTCGTAATAATCATGATTTAGTAGTTTCTTCATAAGCAAAGACAAACCTTTAAAAATTATGAAGGTTTTGACAGTGAACAGAATAATGAGCTTGTCTGTTAGAGGCTGTGGTGGTTGAGCAATGGGGCATTGATTTTTCAGGTTCTCACTAGGTTACTGATACGGAATGTATACCTAGTCTTTCAAGTGGCACGCAAAACACAAGGTTCACTCATGTGCACATTGACATGCATATAAAAGAACCCTTTGCAGTTGAAAATTCGATTAAGAGTAGGTGGAAATGCTGTTGGCACGACCAACTTCTTGCATTGACACATTTTAGTCTAATAATGACATAGGCATTACGTTGACAAGACGTTAAACCCCATTCTATTATTTCTATTTCATAAATTTTTGAACTTTTTACTTTATTTTTCTTGACTCGGTTTAGTCATGTTTATAACTATTGTACAAGTGTGCATGGTCAAGGCCAAGGTCAACAAGTCCATCAAGGTCGTGCTCCTGGAGGCAGAAAGACTAAACAGCCAGCCGGTGGAGCACAGTTTGTTGGTCATGAACTTTATAAACGAATTAAAGAGTATCTTAAGGATTATCTTGTAAAATTATTAAAGGTTAGTTAAATTACTCTGGTTTATTTTTTACATTTTACTGCTGGTAAAATTAGGTCTATAAAGATTTGTTGCTGTAGTCTAATGTTGGGTAATGTAACCATAGTCACTATCTGATACATATCACAAAAGATATGTCGCTATAACAATACACCTTCATAACACAAATTTAACAAGAAAACCAAACTTTGATCCTACATGTGTGAATGTTTGTATCTTAATAAATTTATAGAATAAATTTATAGAATAATTCAAAGCAAGTGTCAGGTATTGCGATTTGGATTTGGAAGAGATTAAGAATGTTGAGAAATGTAAAATTAAAGCCATAGTGCTGCTGCCCAGGCAAACTTTCCCTCATAGCACATGGTGTATGGCGCATGTATGCCTAACATCATTAGCCCAACGTCATTAGCCCAGTATAGTAGCAGAACAGTAGACGTTAAACCCCATTTCATTTCATTTCATTTTTGTAAAATTAAAGTTTATCTGTCAGTGTTGCGTCTTCAATACTTTAAAGTGTATCTGTCAGTTCTGCGTCTTCAATACTTTATTCTCTCAATATTTGTATATTTGTGTATTTAGGATGGTCAAGATCTGTTAGATGAACAAGTTTTACAGTTTTATACACGACAGTGGGAAGATTATCAGTTCTCTAGTAAAGTTTTAAATGGTATATGTGCCTACCTTAATCGCCATTGGGTAAGACGAGAATGTGATGAAGGAACAAAAGGCATTTATGAAATATATTCTGTAAGTAATTTTATAATTTACATCTTATAAATGATAAGGACAAGACCTAGGTGTGCAGTGTATTACATATCTTTATAAACAAACTCTAGAGTTGTTGATTCATAAAAAATGTACAGTTTATTACCAGCACATGTCATTGTTAAAAAGCTCTGGAGCTGTTGATTAAATAAAAAAAATTTAAAGCAACAGATCATTATTCTTGAATGATGATAAACAGCAATCTTGGCTGGGAAAACTCGCCGGCCATACGTCAGCCATTTTGAATGTCACTTGTTGTATTCTTCCGCCGGTTGCTTCACAAAGATCCAAGATCGTGACTCAACCTCTGGTTTCTTCAGAAATTTCAAATATTTTACGCTTATATCTCCGAATCACTCACATTGCATGTTAAAAATTGTTCCTGGTAAATCATCAAATCGCCTTTTTTCGAATGAACTTTTGATGTCAAGACGTGGAAAATGTTCCAAGGATCATTAATATGTAACTCATGCGACGAGGGGGGTTGGATGGCTGAATGGTTAGCGTACGCACGCTGTATCATAAAGTCTGTCATTGAGTCGACTGGCGTGGTTTCGAATCCCCGGTTGTACGTGACAAGGAGTAGGGTCGCCTGTCCAACCTCGTGGGTTTTTTCCGGGTCCTCCGGTTTCCTCCCACTGCTAAAGACCCCTATGCGCAAGCGAATTATTGAAATAAAATTAAACCATATGTTAGTCCCAAAATGACCTAGTTTGTGTCGAGTGGACGTTAAACCCCATTTCTCTCTCTCTCTCTCTCTCTCATGCGACGAACCGATGCCTGATTGTTGGCAAATCATTCAAACAAATCCAGCCAATCAGGAGCCACTGGGGGAGGGGCTTAGGAACCGAATTAAGACTGATTAATGGCCGCTGAGTTTTCCCAGCGATAAATGAATGGTAAACTTCTCTCTCGGAGTCGCCTGTCCAACCTCATGGGTTTTCTCCGGGTCCTCCGGTTTCCTCCCACTGCTAAAGACCCCTACACGCAAGCGAATTATTGAACCTTGTGTTAGTCCCGAAATGACCTAGTTTGTGTCGAGTGGATGTTAAACCCCATTTCTCTCTCTCTCTCTCTCTCTCTCTATCTCTATCTGGGAGCCGAGATTGGATAAACAGCTTTAATTACCATTTTATTACAGGGTATAAAGTAGATGTGGAGTATACATGTCGTCATATTTTACTAGGCAATACACATCCTGTTTCTAATTAATCACACGTTGTAATAATAATATGATTAACACTACTATAATTAGAATAAAATTACAAAGTAGACATTGGTTAATTTAACTGAAAACTAAAGTAGACATCTCACGAGTCAGTCGCGTCATGCCAGAAGAAAGATTCTATTTTGATGGCATTTTCTAGGGTTTATGATTTTATTTTGAATTAGGAGTTATGTTTTTAAATAAAAAATAAACAAGCTATATAAAATGTCATCAACTATTTGGATTGGAATCGTGCAAGTAGTTTTTGTTTTCGATGATAGTAAAAGTCTGAACAACATGTTTTGACATTGAGGTGCCAGAGTGCTATTATTTAGCAGACCATGGCACTCGGCATCACAGAACGACACTAACAAAATATTTTCGAGATGTCATTTTATTTTACTTTTGCCATATAGAAGTTAATACAGAGTATAAGACGAAGACCCGACTTTTACAGAAAAACTATCGATTTATACCCCGAAAAATACTGAAAATAATATTTAAAATTTGTGACGACAAATAGGTGCTAAATGGAAATTTATCTTTTGCCCATCAGATGTAGATTTGTGAAATGGTTTAATTGTCATATATGCTAATGTCTTTCTTGCAGTTGGCTCTTATAACATGGAGAGATAATTTATTCCGGCCATTAAATAAACAGGTTACGAACGCTGTTCTTAAACTTATTGAACGAGAACGACATGGAGAAACGGTTAATACAAGACTTATCAGTGGAGTTATAAATTGTTATGGTGAGTAGCATTAGAATTTATTAGTAAATTATAGATAGTTGTGGTGAGTGAAATTAGTATTATCAGTGGAAGTATAAATTGTTATGCTGAATAAAACTAGAATGTATCAGTGGAATTATAAATTGTTATGGGGAGTAAATAAAATTGGAACTTATCAGTGGAATTATTAATTGTTATAGTGAGTAAAAAAAAAATGTATGAGTGGAATTATTAATAGTTTATGGGGAGTAAAATTAGAATGTATCAGTGGAATTATAAATTATTATGGTGAGAAAAATTAAGATTTATCATTGGAATTATAAGAGGATAAAATTAGAATTGATCATTGGAATTTAAAAATTATGGTGAATAAAATTGAATTTATTACATACCTTTTTTAAAAGTTGGGAAAACACCCTCACCTTCAATCCAAATATTGGAAAATGAGCTTTGTTTATGGTAATAAGGTTCAAAGATTTAATGATTTTTATTTTTCTTCCAGTTGAACTCGGTTTAAACGAAGATGATCCAAGTGCTAAAGGGCCGACGCTTACGGTTTATAAAGATCATTTTGAAAGTCCATTTTTAGAAGACACAGAGCAATTCTATATAAGAGAGAGTACAGAATTCTTACAGCAAAACCCAGTAACAGAATATATGAAAAAGGTTTGTGAATATAGTAAATTATTACAACAAATCGATCACTGAAACTTTATTGGATCATTCCAGTGGGTTTTACAAAATCTAATGTTCAAGATTAAGGTCCATCTATAGTGCTTAAATGGAAATGGATGTTGTGAAATAGCCATGGTTATGAAATAGCTAGCACTCTTATACTGTGATGACTCAGATTTGAAGCCTGAATATGTGCATGTTGACACTATCGATTATGTGTGACATGGCTTATTTCTAGGCTTAAAAAGCTGGTTAATACAAATGTGGAAATACCTGGCAAAATATCAGACACTGCTAAAGTTGTACCTGGCATTTAGTTTTTTTTAGAATCATCTTCTATATAAAATTATGTGTGTATGATGTGATCTAATTGTTTTATTTTCAGGGTGAAACTCGATTAAAAGAGGAACAGAAAAGAGTTCAATTATATTTACATGAAAGTACACAAGATGTGTTGGCACGTGTCTGTGAAAAAGTTTTAATAGAAAAACATCTTGAGATATTTCATTATGAATTTCAAAATCTTCTTGATTCAGATAAAAATGATGGTAGGTGAATCAATATTTTAAAATTCTCTCTACCTGATGCATGCTTAACTGACCTGTACTGCGGATTGTCAAAACAATCCACACTGAGATCGGGCCTCAGACTTAAGAATTTACTCAAAATTGTTTGCCTTATTAAAAATATTTGTTGTTTTTTGTATCAAATACATCAATAAGAAAGTTTTGTGTTTCTGGATCAAATATATTTCTCATAAACAGTCATTGAAAGTTGAATAAATTCTTAAAGGAGCTAAATCGCTAACATTTGGGACCTAGAAATTCACAAAAGTGGGTCGCAACGCATATAATACTGTAATAGGAATGTATATAAACTGATTTACATTTAATGGTTTCCGTTTTTACTCCAATTTCAAATCAGTTATGTTCGGCGAAATAAGTCAGCAATCTCAATCGAGTGCAAATTTCTAGCGTCTAGTTATTCTAGTCTACATAACTCCATTTGATTTGGTGCAATGTGTCTAGCCTCGTCCCTCGAGTCTCTCCATACAACTGGGGCTGAAGCGCATTATGGTACACGATTCGTGTACCAATGTTAAAAAAATTATTTTATCTTAAATATCGGATATCAGAAGCTCATCTTTTCCCGGTAAGTTTACATCATCAATGTTGATTTAAATTGACCAATAATTCGTGTTTTCGATATCAAAGATTTTGGAGGATTTTGAGTTACGGACTTAGGTCCTTTAAGCCTGAGAATGCTTTGTGAACTCGGGGCCAGATTTCAAACCAAAGTCTCTCCAGCCTAGATGATAAACTAGGAGCTTACTTTACTTAGAATTTCAAATCTTAGAGAATGCTTACAGTAATTGATAACATAATGGCACATAGTATAGCACTCCTCTTGGATCTTAATTTCAACAGAATCGATAGTTTGTGTGTATATGTAGATCTATTACTGATTATTAAGCATTCAGACATTTGTTCTACATGAATATTTTAGGTTTCTCTCTGTATGGAAGAAACTAGAACTTAGAAATGCCGTAATAAGAACATTACACAATGATGTGCCCAGAAAAATATTCATGCCGGTCGGTAATTTTGGGCAAGGGGTGCACCATTTATTAATTATATTCCATTAAAAATATACTGCCTAACTACTTTTTAATCAGTCATGCTAGAAATGGCACTGATATGACCGGGTCTACATATCTGTTCGATGAATTTTGCCGAAAACATACATTATTTTTAGATTTGTATGTTACGAGGTCAGTTTGACGTGAGTCAAGATGATTTATGCAGTTTATGAGGTTGAAAGAAACAAATAAAGACACCTTTTTCCATTTTAAATAATCTTTATTTACAAGAAAATGATGGTGGGCGGAAACCCGCTTCAAGATATTTTTGCCAAGCGGAAAAAAAAAAATGGTGCTAGGCGGTGCCGTCTGGTAACGTTACAATGATATAAATATTATGAAATGCCCTGATCAATTACTACACTACTGTTAAGGTGTAAAAATTGGAAAAATTTGATATGGTTTGAAAATATTATTACAGGTATTTAGTTATATTTATTATTATAAATGATGTTTAGACAATATTAGTAGTTCTATATTAAATTATAAAGAATGGGTCTTGTCCTCTGGTTATTGATTCATTTATATAAAAACAATTTTTGTAATTTTTACAGATCTGGGTCGAATGTATCAGCTTGTATCTAGAATACAGGATGGTTTAGGTGAATTAAAGACTTTATTAGAAACACATATATGTAACCAGGGTCAAACAGCTATAGACAGATGTGGAGAGGCTGCTCTTAATGTAAGTATATTATTCTTTAAAAAATTATTACTCATCTTTCTATTCCAATAGGAGGAAACTCATTGTCATTTTAATTTTCTTCCCCTCATCTTTATCCGAAAATGATAGGCACCAGGGGAAATTGTACATGACAAAACCTGGTTACTTCCCATTTAATGACCTATATAGGCTACTATAATTTTTTTTTTTTTTTTTTTTTACAGGACCCAAAAATTTATGTTCAAACAGTTTTAGATGTACATAAGAAATATCATGCGTTGGTTATGACAGCATTTAATAATGATGCTGGTTTTGTTGCTGCCCTTGATAAGGTGAGTTTGTTTAAAAGGATTTATTGGTTTTTCTTTTACAAAAATTGTCCCGGTACAATAAAAGGATAGATCACATGGGTAAATCAATTTGTCTACGATACCACCCTTGGTGGAAGTACTAAGTAGATGTAATGAACGAACGGTTAAATCAAAGTGTAATGATTAAATAGAAGGTATTTTGATCTTCACTAACAAATGCCATTAGCAACTTTTTATTTAGAAGCCTTGTGACTTGAAGTAAGTTGCTACCGAATTGACAGGAAATCCTGGGTTCAGTTGCCGAGGAAGTTCATGTCAGTGGTGCAGGAAGCAGAGCCTGGCAAGCCACAGCGTCTAGCCATTTGGATGGTACAGAAAATTGAGGTCCTGTGTACATGTTGTCATGCACGTTAAAGAACCCTTGACAGTTGGATTTCAATGAAGAGTAGGTAAAAATGTTGGTGTCCAGGCATGGCATATGCCCCTCTTCATTTACTTGGTTAGTGCAGTCCAACCTTGTGGGTTTTCTCCGGTTTCTCTGGTTTCCTCCCACTGCTAAAGACCCCTACTTGCAAGCGAATTATTCAAATAAAATTGAACCATATGTTAGTCTTGAAGAGACCTAGTCTGTGTTCAGTGGACATTAAACCCCATTCCTCTCTCTCTCTCTTGGTTATTGCAGAAGATCGCCATTTCCTTTCAGTGGCTCCATTAGGGTTTATTTATCTAGCCAAACGCTTTTAACTGGAAGTATAAAAGTGATTGTCTCACGATATCAGATTTCATTGCATGTTGCACACTTCTGTAGTCTCACTGTGGTACTTCATACAGCTGTTTATTCCTAATGTTGAGCTTAATAAAAAATATGGTAGTTTAATTTGAACTGTTTAAAGTGTCTCATCATTTGTATTGGCAACAAGAGAACAGAATAACAGGAATAAAAGTTAAACTAAGGAATTATTTTGTAAAAAGTCATTCCTATTGTTTTCTTCAGGCATGTGGTAGGTTTATTAACAATAATGCTGTCACAAAAATGGCTCAGGCTTCAAGTAAATCTCCAGAATTATTGGCACGATACTGTGATCTATTACTCAAAAAGAGGTGAGATAGTGTCTAAGAAAATGTGCTCATCACATTTAACCTGTTTATTTTATATATTAACCAAACTTCAGGTCAATATATCACATTTAAATCTATGGTCAATGTTTTTTTTAAGATTCTGCTCTTCATTTTTTTTCCGGAGTGTTGTTAAATTTTATTTGTATTAAGAGATTAGAATTGACATTAATCAGTAAAGAATTCAAGACATTTCTTGTTCATGTTTGTTTGTGGCTTAAATTTAATGAACTGAAAATAATCTGAAGTTCAAAATTGACGAAATAAATTGTTGATGTTTTTAAGTTCTAAAAATCCCGAAGAAGCCGAATTAGAGGATACTCTGAATCAAGTGGTAGGTGGTATTTATTTTTTACTTTGTCCCATTGTTCTCACTCATTCACGGGGGGTTGGATGGCCGAATGGTTAGCATGTGCATGCTGTTTCATACAGCCTGTCATTGAGTCAACTAGCGTGGTTTCGAATCCACGGTTGTACGTGACAAGGAGTAGGGTCGCCTGTCCAACCTCGTGGGTTTTCTCTGGGTCCTCCAGTTTCCTCCCACAGCTAAAGACCCCTATGTGCAAGCGAATTATTGAAATAAAATTAAACCATATGTTAGTCCCGAAATGACCTAGTTTGTGTCCAGTGAACGTTAAACCCCATTTCTCTCTCTCACTCATTCACAAGCAAGTGTATCACATTCTGCATACAATATTATGTTATGGATTGTGTTAGTTTAAGCTTGTTATTGTTTTTCTCTGTACTTGCAATTTTACAGCTGTAAAGTTTCTTTTGGCCGTCAATTTATATACATGTATTAGATGAGAAATTTATTAGCATTTTAAATGGGGAGTGGGAAATGAACACAGATACCTTGCAGGAAAATGGCTCTATGAGATTAACATGTATAAGTATCAATTTCCTTTTGGTTCAAGTCAAGAAAGAATATAGATGTAACATGAATATGTTAGCCTTTTGAACTGAAATAAATAAGAAAGAATAAGTATATCCTGCAACACCCATCACTACGTACAGCAGCCACAACAATGGCCACTATTATGTTACAGTTTTATATAATGATATTTTTCTGATTTTTTTTTTATAGATGATAATGTTTAAATATATAGAAGATAAAGATGTATTCCAGAAATTTTATAGTAAAATGTTAGCTAAACGTTTGGTACAACATATGTCAGCTAGTGATGATGCTGAAGCCAGTATGATATCAAAATTAAAGGTAGACAGCACTCTTTATTCATATATGAATCTCCCAAATACATCAGAAGTGTTCTTAAAAGATAAGGCATCTAATGCACAACACTAACCATTACTGATAACTTTACTTCAGACCATTTTCTGCTCCACAGTTCATTGACTCGTAAAGATCTTTGTTTTAGGAGTTAAAACTAACAGATATTAACACTAACCAGTAGTAAATAGGCAATGAATAAATCCAATAAAAGTCCAGCTAACAGACTATGGGGTTATTTTCCTTTCCTGCATCAATCAATTGTTTTTAAAAATTTATTATTACAGCAAGCCTGTGGTTTTGAATATACATCCAAGTTACAGAGAATGTTTCAAGATATTGGTGTTAGTAAAGATCTCAATGAACAGTTCCGACAACATTTACAGGGTGGAAGTCTCGATAGTAAGCATATACCCCCACATATTAATATATATCTTGCATTAATTTTCTTGTATTCACTTTGATGGTCAGTTTTTGAGATTTTTTATATATATTTATCTCATTTTAAACTGTCAAAATGTTGTTACATTAAAATTTTATTTCAATATGTCACTCATTTAAGCTGTGAATATTAATATATGTTTTGTTTCTACAGTCGACTTTAGTATGCAAGTTTTAAGTTCTGGTTCGTGGCCATTTCAACAATCTTGTACTTTTAATTTACCTGTTGAGGTAAGTAATATCTGTTCTTGTTAAATGGGTTTGAGGAATTTTTCAAGCCCTGTTCTTACTTGTCAGGGGGTGCTCATGCGGGCCTAACAGTGCCATAAAACCCGAGGTCCGCCAATGTAAATATTTCCGATTGCAGTTGGAATTCTATGAAGAATTGGTAAAATTCTGCTGTCTCAATTTGCAGATGTAGCCATTGAAGAAAACTATATAATACCTTAGCCTTGAAATGACCAAAGTATTGTGTTAATGATAAAGTGTTAAATTCTATTAGACCTGTAGAAGAGCTTCTGGGTTTTATGAATTATTCCAGCATTGAACATAGCACAATAATGTAAAGTGATGAAATTCTTTTGTTAAAAAATAGATCCATTGTAATTTGTTGAATAATAGATCTATTGTATTTTTATTACATTTATTTTGATTATTTTTAGTTGGAGCGAAGCTTCCAGAGATTTACCACATTTTATTCGGGTCAACACAGCGGACGTAAATTAAACTGGTTATACCACATGTCTAAAGGTGAACTCGTCACAAATTGTTTTAAAAATAGATACACATTACAGGTTAGTTTTTCTACGTATATTACTTAAATAAATATCTATTAATTCCCAACACAAAAAGATTTAAGGTAGAAGGGAATATTGTAATTATCTGCATCATAGTGAAAAGTATGCAAGTATTGTCACCTGAGCAATTACATCTATATAATATGTGAGTCAAATATTATCACACTTTTTCTCTGGCTGACTATAGTTTGTCTACTGCATATGGTTCGTCGTTCGTTTCTAGAGTTTTACCTCCACTTCCACCTAGGGTGATATCGTAGACATGTGGTATAAAATAAAAGGTTAAGTAGGAGAAGGCAGTAATTATTGGCAAAAGTAAAATTATTGGTAAAAGAAATAACTTCAATAAATTTGATTATGTTAATCTAACTCATTTGATTTTCATTACTTTGAACATGTTTATATTTGTACAAATTTATTTCAGGCATCTACCTTCCAAATGGCTGTTTTATTACAATATAATATGGTAGATAGTTTTACAGTCCAACAAATCTTCGAAAGTACGCAAATAAAAATGGTGAGGCTTTTTTTTTTTTAAATATCATACATGTAGTTGTCTCCATTGAAAACGAGAAAAAGTTACTAGCATTAGGTATTTTATAAAATTAAGCTTTCTGATTAGTGTTGCAAAAGGATTGAAGGTTAGTGAGAAGTTTATTCAAATTATAAAAGTCAAAGTTTCGAGTTGAAAAGAAGTAATTTATAGATGATTATATTATTACAAATTGAATGAACATTGGACTGTAGGTTGGTAAGAGTTATACAATGATGTGTATATATTGTATTTATTAACACAAGTTCTCTATATATTGTATTTATTAACACAAGATCTATATATTGTGTTATATTATTTTAATAGGATTTATTGACACAAGTTCTACAAATTCTGCTGAAATCCAAATTACTGGTGACAACTGAAAAAGATGGCGATCTTTTACCTTCCACTGTCATATCTCTTTTTACTAATTATAAAAAGTAAGTAACAGGTACTTCAGTGACAGATGTGTAAGTCTCATAATCACATTGAAATGTAAATAGTTTTATAGGAATTTATATCTTCATCAGGTAATACAAAATCCTGAGGTCGTGTACAGATTGGTAGTGCACATCAGCACAAAAGAAGACTACAGTTCTGGCAGTTTTTTCATGAGGATATATAATGATAAGTTATTAACCTTTCGTCATCTGTATTTCAGTAAAAAGTTACGTGTTAATATAAATGTGCCAATGAAAACAGAAGTAAAAGCTGAACAAGAAACAACACATAAACATATAGAAGAAGATCGAAAACTGCTCATACAGGTAATATTATTGTCTGATCATACAGACCACCATAATTGTTTGACTGAGTAAAATACCAAAAATATAAACTGATCATTCAATTATAAAACTAATAATATACCCACATTATATCTATTAAGGCTATTAACTGATAATATAAATTGACTCTCTTTCGGGGATTGGGTGGTCTTAGTGTTTTAACGTGTGTGCATGAAATCACAAGGTCTGTTATTGAGTCCCCACTTGTCTGAACATCCTTGTGGGTTTTCTGTGGTTCCTCTGGTTTCCTGCAGCTGATAAAGACCCCAACACGCAAGCAAATTATTGAAATAAAATTGAACCCGAAATGACCTAGTTTGTTTTGAGTGGAGTTAAACCCCATTTCTCTCTCTCTATCTCTCCCTTCTCTTTCAACAGTTTGAGATTAGCCTTTTAATATCTCAGTATCCTCCAGAAAATTAGTTGAACGTATTACTGAGCATAATTTCTATTTCTAAGGAATATAGAAAAAAAGGTTCTTTTAAAATATCGGGATTTTACTGTAGAATTATTTATTATTTTTTGAAAAAAACCCCAAAAAACATGAGATGAGACAAGACCCCACAGACAGGTATAGATGGAACACACCAAAGCTTGTGCTGGAATTAAAAGTCTGCCTCAGTAAATTAAAATAACAGACTGTCATTTTTTTCCAGATATAGTTATTTGTGATTATATTATTTGTTTAGGCTGCCATTGTTCGTATTATGAAGATGAGAAAACAGTTAAAACATCAGCAACTTTTAGCAGAAGTTTTGAATCAATTATCTGCCAGATTTAAACCTCGAGTGCCTGTTATAAAAGTAAGTTTTTACAATAACCTCCCTTTTCAACATTATTTGTATAGTGTAATCGTCAACCTCTGGGATTTTCTGGCATTGTTTCTGCCTGTCAGCGGCATAGGGAGGAGGGTCTGGTAAGGAACATTGTCTAGTCATTCGGAATGGATGAAAAAACGTTAACCTATGTACACATTGCCATGCACGTAAAAGAACCCTTGACATTTGGATTTTGAAATAAAGAGTAGGCTGTAGTGCCACTGTCTGGGCAATATTTCCCTTGTAGTACACTGCATGATGTATGCCCATCTTCATGGTGCAAAAATTTAGGATATTAAACCCCATTTCAGTTTATTTTCGTCAACCTCTCCAACAATAATTTTTGGAGTTTTTTTAAATTTGTATGCAAAAGTTGCTACCTATTTCTTCTTTGTCCATCTTAAAATTCTGATTGCAAAGTCAGCTTTTCAAAATTCAACAAAGAACTTTTAATAATAGTTATGTATGCCGTGTGAGAATGCTGAATGACTTTCACACAACAAAAATGGACACATTTTTATTATTATTGTTATCAACATTCAAACAAGCTCAATCAGCTAGTGATACCATGGTGGAAACTTTCAACCTTTGGACAAAGAGCGTTTGCTATTGCCACTGCTGAAAGATGGAATTACTCCCTGTTGGACTGCGTTTGTGACTTCCTTGTCAATCTTCAAATCGCGATTAAAAACTTATCTTGTTAATATTCTTTACAAAAATTGACAAACATTTTGTGGATTTGGTGCTACATAAATGGACATATTATTATTATAGTGACACACTCTATCAACATCTGTAATAAATATATTTGTTTTATTTTGTAGAAATGTATTGATATCCTGATAGAAAAAGAATATTTAGAACGAGTTGAAGGGCAAAAAGATACATACAGCTATCTGGCGTAATTCAATTTAAGTCATACATGGTAGATTTCTAGCTTTTCAGGTAACGCTTGCTTGTTAACAAAACCCTATTCTGTATTGTTTGGTATTAAGAATATTTTCTTATAGCGTGACCGAAAAACTAACTATTTACTTTGTAAGGCCTAACTAACAAAAAAATACACAAAAAAAAGATTATTTAAGTTATTATGAATCCAGCCTTAATGTCTGATAAGAGAAATGTTTATTGTTAGAAATCTCTGCACAAAATTCTTTATTTATTTTAAGTTAGATATTTATTGTATGGGGTCAGGATTATAATTCCTCGATAAGTCTAGTACACATAGCTTCTAAGTTCAGCTATAAATTAACCTGACCTAGATTAGGCAATTATCAAGACTAATCAAGGAGTATATGGAAGTCTAAACATAAATTAGGCTGAAAATGGGGTTTGGGGGCTGTGTGAGTTAATCTTTTGGGGTAATATTTTAATTTAATTCTTATTGACATACCACAAGTGTCATAGTGCTATTTTTACAGATATTTTCATGTTGATAAATTGAGGTAAGATTAAAAATGTTTCAATGGAATTTTGAGTTATATTAATTTATCTTATGTTTACTAGTAACTTGGTGAGCATTCTTGCAGGACCATTACTTCTCTTTGTTGTCACTTTTTGAAGGGGAAAAAGGTTTTGTTTTGTAATTTATCTTCATGAAAATTGTTAAATTAACAAAAGATTCCATGTATCAGACGTAATTCCTTAACCCTTTAGCACCTGGTACATATAAATATAGATTACCCAGGTTCCATGAAAAAAATAATGCATTTTATACTGGTGCATCCCTAGAGAGCCCCAAAATGTCTAAAAATGCAATTTTTCTGAGTTAAGGGAATAGCTTTCCCCATTTGAGGTCCTGTTACTAGTTCTTGGGAGGTGCCAGCCCTGTTCACATGAATCAAGCAGTTTTGAGTGCTCTTTGTTTGAGCTGTCCGTGTGCTAAAGGGTTAATTGAATTGTAACTACATGGTGACCAATGGCCTAGTGGAAAAGAAATACACCTTGGTTATTATTCAAGATAAACGTTTTATCTTAAAGTTTACCTAGAGTTGAGTCAGAGTGAGTTTACCAGATATATAATAGTTCTACAATTTATATCCAAACCAAATGTTTACTTGAACAAGCACAAACTTTTAATGAATTGTGTTTGTCCTTTGTAAACTCTCATAAATAAGAACTTAAATAAAATCTCAAACTAATTGTCTAGATTAAATTTTGTAAATATTTTGTGTTTTTAATTTCTGTATGATTGTAAATGTAGAGTTTGAAATATAATTTATACATTGACATCATTTTTCACCTTGTTAAAAATTCTCATTAAATCATTTTGTCTGTTTTAATACATATACACAGTGAAACCAACATAGCATCAAACTAGGAAATTAGGCAGCTGTGGTCACAGACATTGTCAGGTACAAATTCAGGCTTTGTCGGGCATAAATCCCTCTGGTGTCAGTCATTATGTCTGACAAAGATTTGTCTATTGATATTTATAAGAAATGTCCGGTACAAAGTTAAAAATGCCAGGTACTAGTCTTAAGTTCTAAGCCCGAATATAATATTTTAACAATATCAGGAGGCTGCCATGATTTTTGTGGGCCGTTTAGTTTATGTAGACAAATGACTATCTCTGTAAGTTTTCATCACTTGAAATAGATATTTATCACAAGTGTATAAAATATGGTTGTCATGACGAAGTCAGGTTGACCCTTTTGTCTCAATAATTACTGGTACATGTAGTAGGTTCTATGTTGGTTTCACCGTAATTTGTTCATATTCTCCCCTATAAATAATTACCAACAATTTTTAAAACCTGTAAAATAAAACCATTTAGTAATTTTGACCTTTTTTTTCCCATTAGATAGGCAAAATAAAAAATCAATTAAGTTACAGTTATTTTAAGATTTAGATTTTTGTAAAAAGAAATCGGGTCGCTTTTTCTGTAACATCTGTCACTAAAGTATTTGATGGATACTGATAATGTCCTTCAGATATTTTTTAATTTATAATTTCACGATTAAAGCCCCTGATTTCATTGACTCAGTGCTGGTGCTTGGTTATTTCAGGCATTGTGCAGAGAATACAGTACAGGCCTCCAATAACACATGTCAAATTGTTTTACAATGCCACTCATTTTTTTTTACTAGAAAAGCACAATTAGTAAAATTTAACTACCGGTACATTAAAAAGGCTTGCAAGTGAACTTGTAACAGAAGCATGGCAGTGACCATGATATTGCTTTTCTACGTATCTTCTTGTGACGAAGTAAGAGAAATATCATCCCCTTAAAAAAAAAAGTGGTAAATCTTTTCAGTGCTAACATTCTTGTCCCAATTTACATCTTTTTAACTATAATTTCAAATCATCAACAAGCATATCAGACATAACTACTTAACGATGTATTTTAATGCTTGGATTATTGTGTTTAGAATGCATCGATAAAATCTTTGTGGCCTCTTTCATTCTCTAGTGTATTTGTGAGAGAAACTGATATTACCCATTATCCTTTAAATACACAGGTTTGGTGTTGCATTATGCAGCAGGTGGATATAAATCTAATTGGCTGATTTTAATGGACGACTTTCTGTGGTGCCATTTTATCAGGCTACCATTATATTTCAGATTAAATCAGCTGTTTTAAATTTTATACTGCCTGTTATTAGCAGATCAAACCATATATTTAGAATTGGTTTCTGATCAATGAATTGTTTTGTTTTTTTCCAAAAATAATTCTTGATAGCTTCTATTTATATGACAACTATATTCATTTATATGAATCGTACAAAAATGGTACAAAGCCGTCTCATAAGGCAGCTTGCATAACCTCCAGCTTCACATGGATGCTGATATTCAACTTTTAGAATCTGTTGACATGATTCATACAATTAGAGGGAAGAAAGGAATATGTAATCTTGCTTTGATTAAAATTAACTTATGAAATGACACGATATGATGAAATCGTCCAATCACAAGCAAGATTACAGCTAGCATGTCTCAACTCTATGTCGTCCAATCACAGACAAGTTTACAGCAAGTGTGTCTCAACTCTTTATGTGTTAGTCTTACTTTAAACATCAGTCTAAAAATGTCTGGACGAATAGATAATATCAATGAAGCATTTTTAAATGTCGGTATTAAATTAAACCAGTAAAAAAAATAAAATAATGAACAGGGTGTCAACTATACAATATATCTGGTGTGATGTGTAAATAATTGAAAACATTGTACATAGAACAATATAATTATATCTGTACAGTTGTTACTTAATAAATAAACGTTTCTGTTCGGAGATTTTTTGTGTCTAAATTTGGATGTATTATTATTATTGTATGAATCCATACAGATTGTAGATATATAAAAAATGAAAAACAATAAATAAACATGTTTGTTGTTATTTTATAGAAGCATTACAAGGAATGTGCTGTCTGCTCGAAATGTTTTCCCTTGCATTACACCTAAGGGGCCCCTGGCTGGTAAAATCACTGGATCAACAGTCATTGCATCCCCAGTAAAAAGGCGGCATATTCTGGTCATTGTCTATCACATATAAACGCAATAGAATAGACATTTTTCGTCTGATTTTAAAACAACTTTGTTGAAATGTCTAGAGTTATTGTCCTTTTCTAAGCCATGTTAGATTTGAGTGTTTTTGTGTTATGGCCTCTGATTGGACAACACTATTGTTCACATGTCTGTGGTAAAGAGGGATAATGTATGTATAAGTTCAAGAATTTCTAACTAATCTAGCAACGGCTAGATGTAAAACTCGCTTTCGTTGCTTCAGGAACATGCCCTACTACATGTACCTGGAGCTATACACAATATAACAAGGTGACACAGAATACAATTTCTGATTGAACAAGATTCTATTTATTATATAATCTAAACACAAAGAAATAAAAACATTGGACAACAATATCACATATATTGCATATTGATTATAATAATTAATATAGGCTAATAAAAACATTGATTTATATATCTTTTCCAAAATACAAAATGCCCAGATCTAACTCAAGACATGTTCAAATTAATTTCTGCAAAGACAACCATATAATTTACCTGTAATTATAATTAAGAGGTAAATGACACACCTGAGAAAGGTAAACAATGATAGCTGATCTATGGCATTTGTCAGGCCTATAAAAGATAAAAAACCTCAGTATTTGTTATGTATTAAAGTCAATGTTCAGTAGTTTGTGTGCAAAAATCTTATGGATTGCAAGTTTTATTCTTGTGACAATAGTATGTCCTTAATGCGCTTGTTGCGTGTGTGCACAAGTTGGTTAGAAGGAATATTGTTTGCTTATGTCATTATTTTCTAAAATATTATCAACCAAAAATAAAGAGTTAATCACGCCACTAACCCCTGGGTTTATCCATGGGGCAGACACCTACTCAAATTATCTGCCCTTGATGACTGTCCTATTTTTATCATCCAATCAAAAAATCGTTAAATACAAAGGAAGTTGACGATGCGATGTAACTCTCATCTTGTTACAACAAACAAGCTGCCATATTGTTGTGAACGCAAGTGAAGAGGCTAAGACTGGTTTGTAAACAGTTTTTTGATTGGGTAGATAATTTGAATACATCAATACCCCATGAATGAAACCAGGGTATAGAGGAGTAAAATGGAATGAGACCACTGGGGATGCAGAGGTTGGGAACCTCCAGGTTGGTAAGCCAATATTTTGCTCACTGAGCCACCGCAGCCCAAAGAAACCCAAAAGTTGGGCAATTGACCTTTGTGACATACAATGGTGAAATGGAAATGACTGTCCAGTTAGTGACCAGATTCCACCACATCCCCCATTAAAAACATTAAAGAGGCACTAGGGCTTCGCCAGACTTCATAACTTGGTAATTTGGACATGATTTGACTCAGTTTGACTATGCAGAATATGACACAACTCTGCCATGTCATAACTGATATAAAGACATTTTAATGTTCTACTGACAAGGAGTACCAATTGTTTTAGTAGGCCTACTTCTTAATGCTTGTGAAAAATACCTTACTCTAAGTCAGTACTTGGATTTCAAGTATTTTAAATGTAATTTGCCTCTTTACCAACAATTTCAATTATTTTAAATGTAATTTGCCTCTTTACCAACAATTTCAATCATAAAGCAATTCTTGCTTTACATCCATTAGCAAGCCCACCCAATTCATTGTTATTTCTCAGGTGTCCAATGTACTGAAATGGAATTGATGAAAAACATTAAAGGGCATATGGCTCTATTCTTTGGAACTCTAAAATAGATAAAAATGAATCAAAAAGCAAATATTAATGTAATATGAATGTATTTAAACTAATTTACATTCAGTTTTTAACATTTTTATGTTAATTTCTAAAAAGTTATGAGCAGTCCAAATTGTGCCACTTGTGTCTGGTTAGTACAGTCTACAAGTATATCTCTTTTGTGTCGTTAGTAGTTCAGCCATTTTCAAATTAAATCTGCATTGACTTGTGGGATATTTCAAAATGTTCACTGTGTCTTAAAAATTGGTTACCGGTATCCCATACTTTCAAGGTAAGATAACAACATCAATATTGATTGAAATTGACCAATATTTATTTCCAATACATTTTTTTAATTTCGAAGATTATGAATTTAGAGCTATACACCCTTTAAATCAAATATATATATACTAACTTAGTACTTATTTACCCCTGTGTTATCAATAAAAAAAATAAATTCAAAAATTATAAAAAAATTTCTCAAACCTGATACCAGTATTTGTTTTGAACTATTTTGTATTGGAATGAGGTAGAAACTAGCCTAGATGAGAATTCAGGCATAATAAAAAAAATTAATAATAATGCATTGAAAAATGCTAATAATCTAATACACAACAGTTACTTATGCCAATAAGATTTCAATAACTTAATTCTAATAGTTATTTATGTTTTTTCTAACTAAAGGAAAGTTGTATAAGTACTTAACGTCATTTTATTACAGGTTTCTACCACAGGACCTTCAGTTTTTTCTAACCAGAGGTGAAAGATAAAAATCTAATAAGTATAATGTTTCTAGTACAACATTAATGGACGAAATTTAAAATCTTTGAGCTGTAATGAGCATTATGAAATTGGCTTTTTTTTAAAATATTAAATTGTATTTATAAATCACTTGTCTCATGACCTTCAACATTTTTTGATAAATCAATGTACTGTTAATGGAAATTTATTTTTTCTAAACACAATTTTAGACACAAAATCATTTTTAAAAAGATTGAGCATTAAAAAATCTACATACAACTCCTTATAGTCAAATATAATATAGAAATCTATACATAAAATCTATATCTCTTATATGGAAAAAATAAAATTCCCTTCAGAGGGTTCTGTGTTTTGCCCACCAATAATATTTTTTAAGTGTGAGATTGATACACATTTATTTCTAATAATCGTTGTATGATCTACTTGATATGATTTTCCATTTCTTTCAAAATCTAAAAACTTACATTATGTTTATTAAACAGCTAATTATTTTATTCCAAATTTTCAGAACGAATTGATATTGCACCAGTAGTATTATGACTTCTCTACAACATTACATATAATACACTATGCTTAATAATATCCAAAAATATATGGTCTACTCTAAATGGCATTTTACTCTAAACTATTGCAGTACCGTATTATAAAAAGCTTTATGATAGATGGTTGAGACTTAATACCTATCAGTAAATAACAGAGAATGGAATGGGGTACCTCGTTCTCATTACAATAGATATGTCTGCAATGAAAGGGGCAGATTATGCTTCTTTAAATTCCAAGTGACAAGGGTTCTATGTTATGCGTCTGGCTGGATAATAGTTCTTTTATTTCTGTTAGAAACAATGGCTGCCGAACAAGAAAACTTTGATGGTGCATCGATTTCAGCAACAAAGAAAATACACATTCATATCCATCCTAACATAATGCTGTATTTACTCTTGGGCCTAGAATCTAGGCTGTTTATGCTTTTATTAGTTTTAATAATCGAGATAATGAATCATCGTTCAAGCATAATTATTTGAATTATCACGATAAATGATCTCATCACAATAATCCAAGATATCATGATTATTCATCCTGGAATAATCAGGATTAATCAGGATTATTTTTGTATGTAGGCCTATCGTTGCATCCTTATCCTACAGAACACCTATACCAACTGGTATAGCAGATACTAAGTTCCAAACATGTTAACAATTATCATGATAAATACATCCTATATCAATATCTACATCTGTTATCATAATACCATATTTAACTTAATAAAATGCACAAGCTCTGATGAATGTACATTCACCCTTTCACCACTCGATAAATTTTACCATCATGTGTTTGTTATTCGCTCCTTGGAACGTTTCTTAATTTAATTACCTTAAACTGGTCCTGTACAAATATGTATAATACTCACTTAATGCTTATTCAAGTAATGATTTTTTAAATTTGATTGCATGATGATGGGTACTAAAGAGATCTCTTCCAAATGCAATCCATTTCAGATCTTTAATGGACAGCTTTCTTTAAAAATACCATAAGGAAAACTGATCATAACTAGTCTATGGAAATACTAGTATCTCATGATACTGTACTAATTTGATTGGTTTATGTCAGTGAAAAGGCTCAATTTCCTTAGCAAAGATTTGCAGTAGCAATAGAGGTTTGCCTTCTCTTAGTAATATAAATCAACCATTGGCATAAGTTCGACCAAATCTGGACAGTAAATCCCACTACTATACAAACATTACAGTCCATACTTAAACAGTAGCTCTATTAATAATATATGTAAGGACAGTATACTGGTGTATTGAGATACTAGTAGGCACAAAAGAAATGAATGTCTGAATGACATTGTGTTATTGAGACCAATCTTCATGTAGAAAGATAGACTAAGATAAGTTGAATGAAAGAAGTCTGTATCAGATCTTGACCTAATTCACACAAAAGCAAATTATTTCTGCATAAAGATTAATGAATGTTTTATGGAGAATTGATAAAAAATATTGTAGTTTTATCTCTATGTTTTTTTTTCTGACCAAAAACATTTAATGAACACTGCAATAATAGTAGAAAATTATATCAAGCATTATAACATTTTATTTCTTAAATATATATTTACCAAAGCCTACATTTAGGCTAATATTTAATAATGGCTGGAGCGCTGCATTATAATTAAACCCAATAATCATACTTTAGGCACATCACCGAAACGGAAGAGCTATATTGCTTATTTCATCGACATTCAAATGTCATAATCCATTTAAAATGACATTTTTCTTCGTTCATTTTAACATTTTGATTAAATTTACAAACAATTTTGAAAGTGATGTTTCTGAAATTTTACTATGTTAAACCCATAGCTTCTAATTAAAAGCTTTGGATTCACAAACAAATGCAAGGCTTAGCAATGGACTGCTAGTTAAGTACAGTGGAATGAGACAAAGTTGGTTTTGAACAGACTTACCTCCCTTTGTCTCACCGCACACTTTATGTTTTAAATATTTTAAGGCTTGTATTTGAATTGATAATAATTAATTACACTACAACTTCTAATAATCTACGATACTAATTTATGACACCTTTCCGAGACTTTTTCTGTTCAATTCTTATAACTTTGATAATCACAATTCATTCTTTGCCTTTTTGAAAAGTCCGACTGGACACGACACTCCAGTTCCAGACAAGCCACAATATCCGTCGGGATTTTTATGTAAATATTGTTGATGATAATCTTCCGCATAGTAAAATTCTCCTGCTGGTTTTATTTCTGTCGTAATTTGTGGGTAACCTTTCTGAGTAATGAGGTCTTGATAAACTTTTTTGGAGCTCAAAGCCTGGTCCAATTGATCCTGGCTGTAATAATATAGGGCAGAGCGATACTGTGTTCCCATATCATTACCTTGACGATTTCCCTGAGATGGGTTATGATTTTCCCAAAATATCTGAAAAACAAATGTAAAAAAAATCAACTTGATGCTCATAATCAAGCCATAATGTTGTCGCGGCCATAGCAGCTAATTCCGTAGTAACTAATATGTGCAGGCCTTCTTGATTTAACATGTTTATTGAACTATAATTTCGATTCCCCCTCATGGCCTTATTCCAATTTCCAGAAATGAAATGGGATTTAATATCTTACTATTCTACACCAACCGGGTAAATGAAGTCGGCGGAGCACAGAAATTGATCATGGACTGTGTGGAAGCAAATGTCAAAATGAAATGAAATCGGTTTCAGTCCTACTGTTCTGCTCTGACTGGGCTAATGAAGACATGGGAGTTACGGTTTACTCTTCCAAATGCCAAGGGATCTTTTACGTGCTAGGCCAATATATTCACCGGACCTTGTTTTTTCCATCCCATCCGAATGACTAGACAGCTGTCCTTGTTAGGTCCTCTGTCCTGCACCACTGACAACTGTCAAGGGGAAACCACGCTGGAAAATTTTGATGAACTGTCTCGGCTAATATCGGGAGTGAACCCGCGTCCTCCAGACTAGCAGTCCAGTGTCTTACTCACTTAGCCACAGTGGCTCCAGAAGTGAATGTCAAAGCAATCAGTTTATAATCTCAAGACATTTAAACATGAATGATACAAACCTTTAAAAGATCTAAATATGTGATCTGTGTAGGATTGTAGACCACTCGTACAACTTCTGTATGACCTGTTTTACCACTACACACTTCTTTATAATTTGGGTTGACGGTATAACCTCCTGAATAGCCTACCTATAAATAACATACATACAGGCATGACAACATTTATATCAATTATTATATACTCTTCAAAAAAGTAGGGGATATTCAGAAACAATAGAAAACTACGGAAATGCACTGCTATTTTTATTAGAGGTAACCAGTGTATGTTAATAACAGGTCAATTGCCTACACATGAACATAAACAGTTCATATGGGTGGCTTATCTGACGGCCCCATTTCACTCGCAAAGAGATACACCGTCAAAAGTGAAAATGGATGTTTTTGATTTTTGTCTTAATAATGAGTAATTGCTCCACCAATCCTCAGACGTTCAGCAATTCGTCGTGGCGTGCTCCTAATCAACCGTCTAATCTTAATTTGGGGTAATCTGACCCACTCCTCTTGCAATGCCACAGCCAATTCTTGCAGTGTTGTCGGTTGACGTTGACGAACACGTCTCCCGATCAAATTAAACTTAACACACTAAAGCAAATATACGCTAAACAGTAAATCTTATGCAAGAACCGATAGGAATGCTAACATGGATAGATAAACCAGCACGTGGCAGTTTTCATCAACCTATCCTTGAAGTGTCAAATTTGACAATGAACCCCTCCCACGTGTATGGCGCTATTGCGTGTCACATGTGCAGCTCAGTGGTTCTGTTGGGGCGATAAGTTCTTCATCTGTGAACAAACTCTCAAAGCATGTCAAATGTCCATGACTATTTATCATATCGCAACCTGCATAGGTATTTGCATTTCAATATCCCCTACTTTTTTTGAAGAGTATATATAACCATTAGTAATATCTCAATTAGATCATGCTAATGGTCTCCTAGCCGGTGCTCTAATATATTCACTTAATCGGCTACAGGTTGCCAGGCTTGACAAGAACTCCAAAGACAGATTACATTACTAAAAAGCCAGTTTACTTGAGTATCTGTGAAACCTAAGACAGATTACAAAATCTGCACAACTGTCTGTCAGGCTTTGTTTTTAGACAATGTGTTTTGTGTCTATAAGCAATCTAGACTTAAATCATCTATAGATTCAAAATTACTGTGTGTCCAAAATATTTCAATGTGGTTAAAAACAAAGTCAAGTATATCAAAAAAACATCTTTTATAGGATCTGTAAAAAGTGTAAAAACTTATTCCCTCAGAAAACACATCTACACCAATGAAATTGTGTTCTATGAGGAATAAATGAAATGAGGTTTAACGTCCTACTGTTCTGCTCCAACTGGGCTAATGAAGACGTGCATACGCCATACAGTGTGCTATGAGGGATATTTTGCCCGGACAGCGGCATTACAGCCTACTCTTATATCAAATTCCAACTGTCAAGGGACCTTTTATGTGCACAGGACCTCAGTTTTTCGTCCCATCCCTATAAGGAATAAACGTTAGATGCTATAAAAGATGATACCCATGACTTTGTTTTTAACCACTACTGCTATAAGTGTTACTGTATCAAGTTTATTATGACTTGGATCCCACCAAAGTTTATGTTCTTCAAATGGTTTGGATTCCTCTCTCTCTATTTTTATTTGGATTCATATATTTCAATCTGGGCACATAAAATGATTACCTGTGTGGAGAACACTCCATTCTGTTGCCAAAATTTTCTCTCAGCTCCCCAGAAACATCCCATTCCAAACATGGCCATTTTTAATCCATCAGGGAATGGTGGCATTGTGGGATTCCTGTTTACAACATGTTTCTTCGAGACAACAATGGGTTCACTTCGTCCTAAAAATAGGCCATCAAAAATTGTAAAAAATATCTTTTTTATCCATCTATACTTGTAATATTGTAGATTTTATTCACCCATACTTATCAATTACATCCTTTACAAGTACTTATAGGTGTTTGTATATATGTATACAAAATATATATGATATGTAAAACATATTATTTACTAAACGCAGTTGTGAAGTAACAGGGGGAGCCATATTCTGCAAAATTAAATTTGTTTTCCTAAAATGTTTGCAATCATAAATATATTTTATAAAGACCTAAATTCTTTGGAAAATGCATAATGAAACACATTTATTTTTGCATCAATATTGTCACTCTTTCCGCCACAGACTGAATGTATGAATTACGTCTTTAGTATTTATTCTATGTTGTGAGTGTGACTGTTATCTTCAATGAGCTAAGATGGCCTCCACACTTTCTTACCGGGCAATGCTTGAGATTTATCAACCATTGACATTTTTGATTCCATATCACCCATACAAAAAAAAAGTGCTGTAGGTTGAATTTTGATGAGTTGGGCCACCAACACCAGTCTTGTTGCTCGATTAATTATCCTGAAAAATATGCCAAACAAAATTATCAGTCATATACTGGTATTTAAATATTCCAAATCAAAGTCATATTCATATATATTAAAGGCTGTACTCTGATTTCTCTGTAACCCAAGATCAAAAAGTTATGTGTGATTGATTCAGTACATAGATCACTATTATACACAGAACTCATTTATGCGTGTACATACATGTTGATCACCATTATACAAGTACACATATCTCCAATGTACAAGTACACATATCTCTATTATACAAGTACACAGATAGATCAACATTATACAATTACACAGGTGGATCACCAGTACACAGATTACCATTATACAAGTACATGTACACATATCATTATTAAACAAATATGCAGATTGATCACCAGTATACAAATACACACATTGATCACAGGTATACAAGTACATGTACACATTTATCACCAGTATACAAATACACATCACCATTATACAGGTACACAGTAAACAAGTATACAGATGGCTCACCAGTATACAAGTACACAGAACATCATTATACAAGTACACATATCACCAGTAAATAAGTGCACAGGTTTGATCCAGGAGATTTTAGTGAGAAACTAATGAATAAAGGCATGTTATAGGTCCCTCTTACTAAAAGATTTTTAAAATGAAATCGAACCCTTTTTTGTCTAGGCCTTCTTATTTTCATTTGTTTTTAACACCCTTTTCCTTATACCCATCTCCCTTAATTACCATTTCAAAATTGTTCCAAATGTGTGTACATATACAGACATAAAAACGGACCAACATAATCCAACTGACATTGACTTACAAAATATAATACCAACTAATCAACACAAATTACCGTCAGACAGTCTTCAAATTTATGTGTACATGTAACTGAAGACCAAAATTAATTACCACTGAATCCCAAATTTGTTAGGTTCTTCATCTTACACTTTCTGATCAAAAAATGTTCATTTAAATTCCTATAATTCCCTAAAGGCAGAAAATATCTAAGATTCATATAGCAGATTTATAATCTAATTTTCACATCAACATTACAGAACAATTCCAAGTAAATTCCAGTAATTTCACCGCAATAATTAAGCAAACATAAATAATAAATAAACAAGTTACCAAAACATCTAAAATAATATAAATAAATTTGATAAAATTACCACTGGTGTAGTCAAGTCTTGGATCCAGTAGAGTAATCAATCAAGATGAAAGTTTAAGTTCAAATAAATTCCAGTTATTTTATCTTGAATGAGAATCATGAAGATAGAAACTGTTTTAACCTTCAACAACTAATTATCTTCTTTAACAGTTTCATCAAATTCTAATTAATCCCTAATTAACAAAAACTTCTATCACAGAGTACAAAATGATCAAATTACTGTACTTTTGTAAATAAACACCCCTTTTAAACATCCTTCATAGTCTACTGTTCAATGTTTAAAGATGCATTATGTAAGACGAAGCAATAAATTGGTCTATTGCTGGTCTTTATTCTGGTTTCAAATGGTTGAAAGTAAGACCATTAAGCAACTTAAAATAAAGACACTCGCACATGCTTTGCAATGAAATATGTCATGTGGGTCCAAAATTTCAACTAAATAATGTACGCTTGGCACATTGCCTGTACCATTATTTGAAATAATGGTATGCCAACATCAAAGGATGACATCACATCTGTATTTTAAAAGCTATTATTTAGACATTCATACACATGATAAGCCTATAATTAACTCTCTAGATCATTGCATGGACGTGATTTACATAGATTAGAACTTCCGCGAGATTTAAAATTTTAACTATAAAATGGAAGACTTAGTATCGATTCTCAAGTATCATTGCTACTATAATAAACAATCTATGCTACATCTTCAAACAGTCATAACTTTGAATGAAATTTTAAATATATTAATTGAACCTGCATGCCTTTTATTCTCTTCGTTGCGTTTATTGAGTACAGTACAGTAATTGATATATTTGTTGTAAAAATAACTCATTTCCACATGGAGATGTACAAGGTGTATTTTATTACAGAACATTTCCTAATTTAGAATTTCTTTCATTATAACATCGACTAGTTCCACAGAATAAATACATCTATATGTGCACATATAGAATGACATTAACTACTTCAAATACAGACGACATACAAGAATAACTAAGTAATTCCTCCACTTAAGGCATGTAAACATCCCTAATTTTCAAAATCCAATGATAGAATAATCTCAAGGCAGTGGTCCGCAGGTAATTCTCACTCGGCCCAAGCCATTTTTAATGGCTAAATTCAGTTTCATGTAGTAATAATATATCGGGACTAACACATGGTTCAATTTTATTTCAATAAAATTTTTTAGCAATGTGAGGAAAACTGGAGGACCTGTGAAAATCCACAACGTTCGACAGTTGACACTATTCCCTGTCATGTACAAGCGGGGAATCGAAATCATGGCACTTTACTCAATGACAGACTTAATGATTTAAAGCACAAATGTTAACCCATAAGGCCATCCCACCCAATTGTTAGAGATTAAGTAATTGCATATATTGAATCAAAGTATTAGTACACTAAATTATCTATTCAATAAATATACAATACCAAACATACTATGCAAAGAAATGATGTACTGTATACCAGGAACAATCTGCTGGTAAAATTAATAACTGCCTTTCTGGAGAACTAACTGTAACCTACCTGAAGCCCTGGGGGTCGATATAACCTTAACCAGTCTCTCAGGGGCGGATCCAAGAATTTTTGCAGGAGGGGGTTTGCCAGCCTCTTGTTAAGGAAATTTGACAGTTGACAATGCATGATGCCATCATCGTCTCTAAATTACGTAGGCATACAAACACATTGAGCTTTTTAAAGAGAGAAATCCAACACCCTGTTTGATGTCAATTTTTATAATGAATTAATAGGATCACACTGTGATTCAATTTCATTGATGCAAAGCATTAATTGTGATATCACACATGTCTATATCATTATTTTGTGCTTTGAATGTCAATCCCATCCCACCATCTGATGACAATGGATAAAGCACACGACCGTTACACTTTTATCATAAAGTGTTGTTTTACAATTTTTTTTATGTAGCTGAGCAGGGTGGGGTTTGGCACCACCAAAGCCCCCTCTGGATCCACCCCTGGTCTCTGTGATAAAAAAATAATGTCCATACAGTAGACCTTGAAACACTACCTTTCAAGTTGCAACGCCCAAATAAAAAAGTTAATTGGGTCCATTCACTTGTCTATAAAAGAATGCTGTGGAAGTCCATGTTTTACGTATCTGTAATATCACCCTAGGTAGAAGTTGATGTTAAGCCCTATGTCAAGTCAGATCCATGCTTTATGCACTTTCATGTGATTCATATGATATTGAAAATATAATTATTTCTATTCTTGTTATATATCATGTTTTACAGGCGTGTGTCTGATTATAAAATCAATAAAGAATCACTGTTAATGGACCTGTTCGACCACAGCTATAGCATAAGACTGTAGAACCTTTTGCCTGGAGAACTGGACATATGAATGTATTAACTAACATTCTTTATTAAATATTTCATATTCGTCAATAATACATGTAGGACTATTTAATCATTTCATTTTATGTTTTATTTTTTTATTTTCTTTGAGGCCACCTTACATCATTAACGTCATTGGTATAAAATTAAATTTGGCTTTCAAAGAGCACCAGTTAATGGGTTCTAGGACAATTTGTCCCCAGACAAACCGTCCCCGCAGACTATTTGTCTCCGGTCAATTCATATCAGGACTATTAGTCCCATTGGGTCCCTTAGGACTATCCGGCCCCAGACAATTCATCCCCATGGACAATTTGTCCCCAGACAATTCGTCCCCTAGGACAGTTTGTCCCTAAACAACAATAATGGTAGTTCCATTATCAAAAACTGAATTAATCTTTACTTTTTATCCTAAATCTCAGTTTTGATGCTAGTTTTACATCGTTTTACATTTAGTATTAAATCTAGGCCTTAACTCAATGGTTCTGAATTTTTTTTTCGGGCTAATTGATATGCATGTAGTAATCAGCTATGATCAGTGACACCTTTTGTGAGTTAGAGAATCCATTTATCCCTTCACTATGGGTATTGTCCAGTTTTAATACTGCACTTGACTTATAATAAATATGCATTATTGTGCATGATAAAACAATGTAGAACAGACATCAGTTAGTTTCAACTTCTTCAATTTCTATAGAATTAGCTCTTGATCATAATTAGGGAACTAATAGACCTAGGCATGATCTGTCCACGGACAAATTGTCCTTGGGGGCAAATTATCCAGGGACGAATAGTCCTAGGGGACGAAATATCCGGGGATGAATTATCCTTGGGGATGAATTATCCAGGGACAAATAGTCCTAAGAATGAATAGTGCTAGGGGACGAATTATCCAGGGATGAACAGTCCTAGGGAACGAATTGTTCTGGAAAGAGTTGTCAGGGGACAAGTTGTTCGGGGACGAACTGTCTCGTACCCGGCAACAATACTACCACCAACCCAGTATTTGACAGACATAATAAAAAAGATGCATTTGTGTTTGTTGATGGTGTTCCTTATCCAAGACATGCGGATATTCTAAATGAAGCATTTCGCTGCCAGCCCCCACCACCTGAAAATCCTGTTGTTGCTACTGTGCAATATAGTCTAATGAAAATCTTGAACTTCCAACAACAATGTGCTGCTCAGCAGCTCAATGATATCCACTCTGCATATTCACTTCACAGATTTATACCATAGTGGGGCTTAATATACTTGCAAGGTAATGCCCCTCGATTCAGATATCAAAGAAGTTTAATTCTTTGTGTATTAAAAAATATGCACGACAGAAATAGTGTTAGCTACATATATATTTGAACTTCCAAAACAAATGGAAAGTGGCATCAAAATAAACCTAAACCTTCAGCTGTCATTACACACAACTAATTAATGTAATTTATCACCCAATAACACATTCTACAATAGATATCGCTTGTGTGATATATTTCATAATCTACTGAGCGATCGGAGATATCACTTTAAATGGAATAAAAGCCTATACTAAAAAAAAAAAGAAGTATATGATTGCATGATACATAAAATCTTCTACTTGTCTTTTTTGACATAAAAAAATATCAACATTCATCGATAAAGTAAAAAAACAAACTTGGAAAAGCCTCATTTATTTTACATTATCGACTTGTGTTAATATTTTAAGATATCAAAAAAGTCTCGTAGGAGATTCTCTATATCTTTCCTAAAAATGAGACATGTCATCAGGGCTTTCCATGAGATGGGGCGATTACTTGCATGCATGCTAAACTCGCAGAAACTTGTTTTTGCAAGAGTAGATAGTTTCTCGAGCAACGCTCAGCGGACATTATTTACCAAACTGCTTTTGAGTTATTGTTTATACCAAACAGCCGCTGTAAAACTGAAGGGTTGTTAATTCTTTGATTGTCAGTACACCTTTCACTTGGCACAACAGATAGTAATATAGTATCTTTAATTTCAAGTGTGTTTCATATAAACTTTTGGCAGATTGGTTTAATAATACTGTCAGGGGATTTTAAGTGCAGTATTTGGTGAAATAATATCTGAAGTTTGTTTGGAGAATTTCTTTAAACATCCATTTTGATTCTCATTTGAAAAAAAAATTCCAACCTCCACTGATATTAAACATATGTTAAGATTGATAAGATTTCAATATTTGCTAATGTCTGAGGAATTCCTGATAATGAGATTGATTAAAATACAAATAATTCACTATGTACATAAACTGGGGTTATGGGTACAACGTAAACATTGTCAAACAATATGGCGGCAATATGCCGACTATTATATTTAATATTAGTTATTAAAGTCCTGATGCACCATTGGCATTTGTCGCTAAAATATCTAAATTCTCACAGCTTAATCCATGTTAATATGTACTCAGAATGATTATTTAACATTAATTAAGAAATCTAAATACCAACGCTAGATAATGTTCTGGCTTGGTTTCAATCAGATTTAAAGGAGCTAAATCGCTAATACTTGGGACCTAGAAATTGACCCAAATGGGTCGCAACGCATATAATAATGTAATCTGATTGTATATAAACTGATTTACATTCAATTGTTTCCGTTTTGACTCTAAATTCAAATCAGTTATGTCCAGCGAAATAAGGCATGTGTCTCAACCCTATAGCAATTTCTAGCGTCTGGTTATTCCAGTCTATTCAGCAGGCTCTCCAGTTGAATATGTCTAGCCTCGTTCTTTCTGGTCACTTGTTGCAAATGACACTAAAACGCACTATGGTACACAATTCGCATTTTCAACGTGTAAGACTTTGGATGATATTGAGTTAGAGACTTAGCTACTTTAAAACAGGCCTATCATTACATTTTCATGGACAACCAAATTACGGCAGTCTCTTATTGCATAGGGAGCAACATAAGTGTAGATTGATGAAACTTCAATTCCACATATCTTTGTAAATACTGAACGGAATTGAAATATTTTTTGGACTGATATTCCTATTACAGATTCATTGTTCACAATATTGTAGTTTGAAAATGAATCCTATTGCTTAAAATGGCGCATTGGGACTTTAAGCAATCTAACAGAATAAAAAGTCACTTCACATCTCAAGATGTCTGGACAAAAATTGAAATTCAATTAATTATAACTCAAATATTTTCAATGATGATAAAAGATGTCTGGACAAAAATCAAAATCCAATTAATTATAACTCAATTATTTCCAATGATAATTAAAAATCAAATTACTTTAGAAAACTCAACTGCATTGACAACATTTCATACATAGTTTCAACACTGTACAAATGGAAGAGTTAAAGATACATTATGTAAGATTTAGATAAAGAGCTAGCCATTCTTGCTATCTATAATAGTTTGAAAATAGATAATGTAAAATGAATAATTTGAAAATTGCATTCAAATTACTCTACTGCGAGCGAAGATATTAGCACTGGAAGGTTTGACAAGACGTGTGCAATAATTTCAACTACTATACTGGTTGTTCGAAGCTAAGTCTCGGTCCAATTGTTCCATATTTTGTATATATATCTTCATTGCACTATGGTTGTCATTATTTGCTTGATAAAGACGGGAGAACCCTCGTCGAAACGTTGCTAAATAAACTCTTCAAGTAACTTGTATTCCATATAATTGTGTCATGTGTTATTCTCATCCAGTTACTAAATGCCACTTAAACAATTCAATCAAAATATGATTGAACTGTTCTAATCTATTTAATATCGGAAATCCGATACCATCGAGAGTTGATTATGGCCTGGATAAGTTAATTAATGTCTAATTAATAATTTAGAAAACATTTCAGGCCTAAAGAAAGACCTGCAATAGGCAGATTTAGCTCTTGCATAATGTATGTTTAATATAAAGAAAGAGCAAGAAAATAAATGTAATTAATTTTATAATGTAATGTTCTAAATAACTTGAGACACAGTTAATTTTTAAAAAATTCTAAGTAATGACTGACTTGGTGCATATCATTTTATTGAAATGAATGGAATGGGATTTAATGTCTCATCAACACAATAGTTCTATGAGACTAACATATCGTAATATTCATTTCTATGGATATGTATACAATGAAAGGAGTGAGAATTGTTACTGGAGATTAGCATTTCCACCCACTCTTTTACAAATTTCAACTATCGAGGGTTCTTTTACGTACACACCAATGTGTACACAGTAGATCTCAGTTTACTGTCCCATCTGAACAACTAGGGACAAACGTCAACCCTGACGAGTGCAAAATCGTGATGGCTCTTCCTTACTTGAGAGGTCATTAGTAACCAATAAAAACAGTACATCCTCTAATGTCTACAGCTGTTTTTATTAGAGGTAACCATTGTATGTTAATAACAGGCCAATTGCCTACACATGAACATAAACAGTTCATATGGGCGGCTTATCTGACGGCCCCATTTCACTCGCAAAGATATACATACACCTTCAAAAGTGAAAATGGACGTTTTTGATTTTTGTCTTAATAATGAGTAATTGCTCCACCAATCCTCAGACATTCAGCAATTCGTCGTGGCATGCTCCTAATCAACCGTCCAATCACAATTTGGGGCAATCTGACCCATTCCTCTTGCAGTGCCACGGCCAATTCTTGCAGTGTTGTCAGTTGACATTGATGAACACATCTCCCGATCAAATTAAACGTAACACACTAAAGCAAAGATACACTAAACAGGTAAATCTAATGCAAGAACCGATAGGAAAGCAACCATGGATAGGATAAACCAGCACGCGGCAGTTTTCATCAACCCTTCCTTGAAGTGTCAAATTTGACAATAAACCCCTCACACAAGTATGGCGCTGTTGCGTGTCGCATGTGCAGCTCAGTGGTTCAGTTGGGGCGATAAGTTCTTCATCTGTGAACATACTCTCAAAGCATGTCAAATGTCCATGCGACTATTTATCATATCACAACCTGCATAGGTATTTGCATTTCAATATCCCCTACCTTTTTTTAAGAGTATATTTTCAAATTAGCCAAGTTAATTTGAATTGCTTTTTTTTTATCCACCTGATGTCAAATGTCCATGACTATTTATCATATCACAACCTGCATAGGTATTTGCATTTCAATATCCCCTACCTTTTTTTAAGAGTATATTTTCAAATTAGCCAAGTTAATTTGAATTGCTTTTTTTTATCCACCTGATTAAATTGATATCTATGATATATAAATATTCATTACTGGTCAAATAAATTTCTGTTTACACATGTACATGTAATTTATATGCAAGCTATGTTGAATAACCCACAACACTGCCATACAGAAATATAAACCACTGATATAAATGTATTTAAATGTTTTATGATAAACTCTGGTATATAAATGTTATATATATATATGATATACCTGGTTAGATAACACATGGTTTGTGCTTATAAAACAGGTCATAAATAGTGTACATTAATCTTACTGTATAGATACACAATATATATACACCCCTACCTGTTTTATAACTTTATAAATAGACAAAATATCTTCTACAATATTAAACTTTGCACACCGCAGCACGCTAACACCATAATTTTAAAGCACTTCCTCATGTAGCTTAATTTGATTCAGCCTATAAATATACACTTTCTTTGAGAAGGTTCAAAGATAAGATTCTAAATATACTTTCCTTTATTAGTTTACTTATATTACCATACCCGAGAAAATATTTTTGGCTTATTATCGTGTATCAACAGCTGTTGAATCTAACCTCCAGTTTGGGTATAAAATATAATGGCTAAAATATGTGACATTGAATAACATTATTTCATTATCAAAAACATAATGTAAATGATGTCCTTAATTATTTTAAAATGTTAAAATAATAATATGTAGATCTACATACATGGTCAAGTCAATTAAAACCATTTTTACTCCTATAATATTCTAACGGATTACTGTCTGACAACCAGTTTGCTGGCAGGAAATAGAATATATGGTTAAACGTGCACATTGTCATGTAATCGAAACCATGTGTACATTTCACACAGTAAAATAGTTTAAATTACATAGATAAGATAGATAAATAAATAAATATATAAAAATATTGGTTTTTGACATGTCACGCGATAGAAGTGTCAACCGTGTATAAATTATAACTTACGCTTTTACTGACTAAACGCTTTGCACAAAAAAATAAATTTTCCCGCAAGTTGATCTTTAAGATGTATTTATATTAAATAAACTCTAACTCCGTCAAATAAACATTATACATGTACTTACATAACAAAAATATACTCGCCTTCTTTTATATCCGGTCACCACAACGAGGCAGCATAAACATAAGGTTTATTTTTAGTAACACGGAGACCTCCAGGGATTGGCATTAATGATCGTTCCTGTCATGATCTAGGAAGTGGTATTGGAATTCATCCAGAAGCATGCTATCGATCAGCTATGACGTTCTTATTTTAGAACAGCAAAGCTAACTTCAGTGTATTATCCCTTTAATTAGTTTCACGCATGGAGGTGTATCAATATATATACACCTTGATGGGTTCACGCACCGTTATTCAATGTTTTGACAGTTCACTGGGTTAGTAGGTCACCGGTTCACTAGATCATTAAAACTCTACACGCGTAACAGTTTTTTATTTGGCAACTTTAAATTCAATAACTAAATAATTTGAATATACACAATTATTTTTTTTTTGGGGGGGGGGGGCAAATGCGCTGCGTCATACTGGAATTGTGTCAACTGACATAGTTTCGGTTCCCAGGTTGTACGTGACAAGGAGTAAGGTCGCCTGTCCAACCGCGTCCTCCCACTGCTAAAGGCCCCTACGCGCAAGCATTGAAAGAAAATTGAACTGTTTGTCCCGAAATGACCTGTGTTTGTGTCGAGTGGACGTAAACCCATTTCTCTCTCTCACACAATTATTTGCCAACCTTTTTTTTTTACAATATTGTAGTTTTGATTTCGGTGGGACAAATGGTAAATTTTAATTGTAATAATTAAGTATAGTGTTTTAATACTTGACTGTAGTTATTAAGCATTCTGTAACCTACCATGCTTAACAGTTTAACCTACAGTTATTCAACAAACTATTTGTTTACCTCGTGGAAGACATCTAAATTCTGAGGACATTAAAGTGAAAATATTAATGTTAGTATCAAAGAAATATGTTTGGTCAGATTTGTTGCCTCCTTGTTGCACTTTTTCACAATGGAGAGAGAGAGAGAAATGGGGTTTAACGTCCTCTCCACACAAACTAGGTCATTTCGGGACTAACACACGGTTCATTTTTATTTCAATAATTCGCTTGCGCGTAGGGGTCTTTAGCAGTGGGAGGAAACCGGAGGACCCGGAGAAAACCCACGAGGTTGGATTTTTCACAATGGAAGTTTTTATGTTGTCAACGCCAAAAATTACCTCTATCATTGGAAAATTATTGAGCACCCTTGCTTGACCAACAAAAAAACTGGGAATAGGCGGTTAGGACTATGATTTATATTCACTCAGCAATAGTAGTTAGATAAAAAATTAGTCCGAACTAGTGTACATCCTTGAATCCCGTGGAGCTGGGAATACTTGTATTTTATTGACCTTTGAAATAAATAGGGTTAAAATATTACATCCACCTGTCTCCTCTAACAAAGGTAATTTTATTTTCGACAAGTATTAATTTAAACTGCCAGGAGACTTTCATAAGGTGAATTTATTTTCTGACCAGTTTAAAGGTACATGTATTATCCATTGGGTATAAAGATTCTGTCATGCATGTTTCATAAAACATCCCCACTTTCAATTTTATAATACCGATAATATAAACAGTCAAGCAATTAATGTCACAATGTGACTTTTTGGTCAGTGGCGATAATAATACACATTTCTGATCTTCCAACAAAACCAACCAAAGTACAGAGTACTTGCCCCTTGCATATAAATTAGTAGTATCATTAAACAACTACACATCTATAATTACTTATCTTATTTTATCTTCATACATGTCTATGTAATACAAACAATAAGAAAACCAACAACTTGTCATAATTTAAAGTAGATATTTTATTAAGTCATGTATTGTAATTAATATTATTTATATTTCACGGTTTATTTACAATACATCTTTATTTAAAGTAATTTACATAAAAAAAGCATAGAATAAAATAACTAAAGGTGTTTTATAAATAGTCAATATCATTATCTATAAACTGTAACACAATCTTTTCATAATGAGAGACTGGTTCTTACAAAACTATTATTTCTGTCTTCATTCCATTTTATCAAAACCTTTACAAAGAACAGCAAATGGCAGTTATTATTTTTTTTTTTACATTAACCTAAGATATGTATGTATGTAAACGTTTCACAAGATAAATTGCATTCAATTCATTATAAAACTAATGGAGGAGATGATATATCAGTTGATGTACTTAAATACAAATAAGATTTTTCTAGGAACCCGGTTCTGATTATTATTATTATTATCAGTGAGATAATTTGAACCAATTGGTACCAGGTTGATTAACATTAATAACCCTTTGATGGTATGTTACTTTCACTATTGGTCAATGACAGGCATCTTGTGTTTGGGAATTTAACAACTCTGTACCCAAACAGGAATTTTAGACACTTTGACTTTTAAAGGGGTATAATATGTGAAAATGAGAAACTTCTGACTGGTGAAGTAGTAATCACAGTTTGTTCCAATGACTGGTAAAAATAACATTTGAAATAAAATGCAAATGATTTACCAAATTTCTGTTGTTCTCTATCTCTAGATAGACATCGGAAAATAACTCAATATAGATAAAATAAATATGTAGATTAATATTTTAATCTCAACCAATAACCATATAATATAGCACTATTTATAATATTATTATTTCTATAATACAGACTAGTCACTATTATCATTAACTAAACAATTCTACAGCAGGATGAACATAATATACAAAACATAAACCGATGCATATACATTGGTAGCATAAAATATCTGTATTTCCTGATGATCGATTCCTATTGTGCCATCAGATATTAATCCCTAATATTGAAAAGCTAATCGTTGAGGGTGCAGAAGCTCTTATTTTAGATTTGTTTTACACAATTACTCTCACAAATGGAATAAAGGTGCAATATATCATCTAGGTGATCATGTTGTCATGAGGTTTGCTCTAATAGTTTTCTCTACCACATCGCAACCACTGATCCAATATCAATGGGGGTCTTACAAAGGGCAGTGTATGCTTACAACCAAACAAACCCAACCGCTCCCTTATTTATAGGTATCAATAACTTTTGTTGTTCTTCTGTAATAATCATAAACAGAAAAGTACCATTACACCATGAATGAGAGACAATGTCTTCTTGTGTTGTTCTTTTATAAATTTTATACATTGAAATTGCAAAGAACTTTCACACAACAGATGACAAACCTTGCTCCACATACTCTCTTTTTAAAAAAGAAAAGAAACAGTTAGAAAAACTAAACACAAATGCAACAACGCAACCCAGTTTACTAAGCAACAGATATTGCACGAATAAGGCAAGGGAGATAATTTATCGTAGGGCTAGATTTGAGTCGTCCTCTCGTTCAGCAGCATGCTGTTTCAATTCTTGTATTGTATGAACAAATTTGGACCATTCACCAGACTTAGGATTAGCAAGATGCTGAAATAAAATAAAAAATACAAATGTTTAATAAAACATAATACAAAATTTTCAATAAAACATAATACAAAATGTTATCAAATGGACTAAAATGAGAACTTCGAAGATGGTACTTTGAAACAATCTGGGCCTCTTCCTTGGCCAATTATCAAACTGCTGTACCTAAATTTGGCAGAAATTGTGCTATAACTATATAGAAAGATTGTGCCCACTTTAGGTATATGATCAATTCCATACTACAAGAGATAGACTTGTTCACGTCTGCTCAAATTACCTCCTCAAACGTCGTGCAGATATTTACATCAATATTTGTTGCAGTCAAAGCAAGAGACAACTTGGGAAGAAGCGACCAAGACTATATAGGTGACTATTACAAAATTGCTTAAATTGTGTTAAAAGTTATGATCATCTTGGCCTTTTGATACCAAAACGATGTGTAGTTTATCTAACAGTAATAGACATACTAAAAGATGAAGACAACATTTTGAGATAAACTAACTCAAGAACATGCTGTATCTTTTTTTACTTACATTACATGCACATTTTTAAGGTTCCAATAGGAAAAAGCAATATCATTTACTTAGCTTTAATGTCTAATTCAAACCTTTAATCATCTTTCAACGATAGAAAGAGACCGGCCCACTGAGGAAACCGAAAAGAGTTAATTTGCTCTTTAAGGGTGTAATAATAAGTTCCACTCATCAATAGGATGTAACTTTTAAATCATACAAAACTCATGGGAGTAGACACAATCACAAGGTTGTTATCATAATGGCACTTTTGATTGAGTTTCAAGCTGTATTGTTTAATATTTTTTATATTAGATTCAGATTACACTGATGGATTTTGCCCGTTCATATCCTACCTCTCCGACATCATAAATATGTATTTTTCCCATATCATCTCCAACACTAATATGATGTCCACTTTGATGCCATCTACATGTGTTCAATGCTACATTACCATCAATTACTGTTGATGCAGTTGGCACCTACAATAAAACAAAGTTTGTTCAATACCCTTAGAACTCAATGACAATGAGGGATACATCTAATACATCTGGAGAGATTATACACCGATCAATCATATCATATGCAGAGTGAAATTTACAAACATTTTAGTGATGAAAATAGCATTATCCTAATCAGGACCCCAAATATAGATAGGCTGAGAAACATGCTTACAGTTTATAGCACTGTAAAATCTTAGGTAAATGAAAAACGGATCTTTACTCTGAATAATAATAATATTTCGGATTCGATTGGGAAGTGGAACCTCAGAATCAAATACGTTAGAGGGAGATAAAAATGTGTTGATTATTTCATACCTCTGTTTCGTTATTCAGATGCCAGAGATCAAGTCTACCATTACCATCAACGCTGGCAAATAATGCAGGATGTATGGGAGACCACTCTACACCATATACATAGTCACTGTTATCTTCAAACGAATGGATATACTTCTGGTCCTTTTAATGTGAAAAATGTATATAAAAAATATATTCATTTCATAACAGTATTTTAAACTCTAAATTAATCAAGAAAAATTTCATTACTCAATTTCTAATGACATCATGCCCTTATCACAGGTTGATATCAATAGGAGCCCTAGACTCATCCTGTTCACTAACCACATGTTTTTTTTAATGAATAAAATGTACCTTAATACTCCATAATTTAATGGTCCAATCAAAGGATGATGTAAGGAAGTAAGGAGAGAAGTCAATTTGTCCAGGAACAGAATGGGCATCAATAGCTGTTATAGGACCTTGATGACCATCAAATGCTTCATTAATACCAGCTTTACTGTAAATAGAAAACACAGGCTTTTAAAATAAACTTGATTTTATATCACATTAAGACCAATTATAACCTATCTATGGGATATAGCAACTTCATTATAAACTGAAGTAACATAAACATTTTTATTAAGAAGTCCCAAACATTTTATTTTGTCTCTTTGTGGTGTCTCTGTGAACGTAGAATAAAAAGGTGTGCGATTTACCTGCCGTGCCTACAAGCTGTGTACACAGTACAATCTTCAGCTCCAACTACAAAATTATTCACATCACCAGACAGAAAACAAAAACTAGTAACAGCAACAGCTTTACTTTGTTTATGTTGTAATTCCATACTATCCTGTATAAACAAAATAAAACACAAATATATACATTTACTTTTTGATTACAGTTTATTATCAATGTGTTTCTATATTACATATTATTCCAATTGTAACATTATCACAATTGAACATCACATTATCACAACTGTTTATCATTATTATCACAGTTGCATGAACATCACACCATCACAATTGTTTATGATATTATCACAATTGTTTATGATATTATTATCATAATGTGAAAATACAGATTTTCTTTGTTGTACCTCCATTTAATAGAACATCTATTTTTTTGGCTACAGATTGATTTGTTTGTTGCACAATTTATGGAAATTGAGATTTGAATAAAAAATCTACTACAATAGCCAAATTTCTAAGAATTCTTTCTCTTATTTACCTGCGGTTGTGATAACATGTCTAAACTCCAGGAACACATTTTACCATCTGTAGATACACTTATTAAATTATGAGCATTCTGAGTTCCAACCACATTTACACAATATACTGGATGCTGTAATATATTGAGAAATAAATCTAGTTCATGAAAGACATTTTAAGGTAAATTAGTTAAAATCATCAACATGTATGTTTACGGCATGTTTATTGACAGAGTTTGGTCAATCTCAAAGTCAATCAATTAAGACTGGCAAAAGGATAAGAAGAACCCTTTGTTCATATGTAATTTTAAGTATGTATAAAGTTTCATAACATTGATAATATCTTGAATAATTTATGAGATATGCTCTGCAAATCAAAACCAGAGCTAAAGGATTGATATAGTTAATTTTTAAATCCTTACACTAACTTCATTAGCTACAAGATAATGAGATAAACTTTAGGACAACCACTGCAAACTGAGTACGCCATGGAAATAGTAATTCTACTTACTGTATGAGCGGCAGCAGACAGCGGTGTTCTTTGTATTGGTGTTCGTTTATTTACACGATTATCCCACAATACAATCTGGCCAGAATATGTTCCACCAACCACCAGGTTAGGATGAAATTTAGCAAAACAGGTTGACATTAATGCAGACTGAAAAATAAGAGATTGGGCTTGATATGTAACTTACTTCTGCAATTTACATCAAAATATGAACAAAGCAATGCAAGGCTGAGTCCCCACCCCAATACCATTAAACAATAGTAACCGTTTTTATACTCCAGTGAGACTTAGTCTACTTACCTGACAATGGAAGACATATTCTGGAGTTGTTTTCTTAAACTTGTTATTCCATATAAGGGCGATACCATCAGGGTCATGTGGAGCATCTTCATTAACATTATATGAAGCTACCAATAATTCAGGATGCTATAAATAAAATGAATTTCAAAATAATAGTTTGAATGAATCCAATTAAAAATATCTTAAAAATTGTAAATATTGGGCAACCTACCTGTATTGACCAATCAAGACTTGTAACAGTCCTATGTCGAGACCAGCGTTCATCATAAAATGTACGATTTAATTTTAATCTTTCGCCTGCCAGGAGATCACTGAAGAAGAAAAAAGCTTTGTAAGGTATGAAGTGTTTACTGTTGTTTCATTAACGGTCATACTAAATTCAATGTAACTCACTGCTATACATATCCTCTATCCATCAACATCAACAAGTTCCCACATGTTTGTATATATAGAGACCAGCGGCTGCCAGGCAGGATACGCCCACATTTTGCAAGAGATGGATAGAGAACAAGCTAAAAACAAACGCGATTTTTGTACAATCAGAGGCAATAATCCAGAAACTTATGGTCTGAAATGTGCAAATACCAAAAGGGACTGAGATCTTTGGGATATACATGTGAAGATATGTTTTAAGTTTCATCAAAATCGGATAAAAATTGTAACCTCCACAACCTTCGTATTACATACTTTTACACAATTTGCGTACAAAGAACGGCCATTTTGTTGGGCAGTTTCATTTCAATCAGGGACCATAATCCAGGAAGTTACATCGGATATGCGTGATTATGAAACGGTACCAAGATCTTAGTGTGTAACAGTGATATAGTCAAACGTTTTTTTAAATCGGATAATAATTGTGACTTCTAGAGGGACCACAAGCTAAAAACGCGATTTTTCCTACAATAGGGCCATAATTCAGGAAGTTACAATCTGATATGCACGAATATCAAAAGGAACTAAGATTTTTGGGTTATAAACATGTATTTCAAGTTTCATCAAAATTGGGTGAAAATTGTGTCAACAAGCCAAAAAACATGATTTTTCGTACAATCTGGGGCCATAATTCAGGAAGTTATGGTCCGATACATGCCAATATTGAAAGGAACTGAGATCTTTGGGAGATAGACCTATATTTTAAGTTTCATCAAAATCAGATAAAAATTGTGACCTGTAGAGTGTCCTCAAACAAATTGTGGACGGACAGACAGGGGCGACGGCATAATACGTCCACAAGAAAATGTGGGTGTATAAAAATTCATGCTGTTTTACTTACTCTTCCTTATTTTCACCATCACCACCAGAGTAATCAATAAGTATATCATAATTCTCTGCTAGAGCACGTTCCATAATACGACTTGTTTTTGTCAAGAATGTATTAAATTCTGGATCATTTAATACCAGCTCTTTCTCCTCTTCGGTTAGTTCACGAACTATAAAACACAAAACATCATTAGAGATTTTATACAAAATTTCCTAGCTCAGTTTTTATTTACAAGTAATTATCTACAGTAAATGTGTATATAAAATGTATTAAGAAAAAATAGAAATCTTTGGTAAACAGGTTTTAAATTTTTTATATCTTGTTATGACACATACTTCCATACAGTCAACTGTAGATAGGAGCCAAGGTGGCTCAGTGAGGATGGCCCTGGATCACTTATTAACTAGCAAAGGAAAAGTATCTACTTGTTCTGATGGGAGAAAACACAGATGTAAGTCTGGATACATGTTTGGGTGCAGTTGAAATTTGATAAAAGTGGATAGAAATGCTGTTGTCTTGTCTAAATTTCCCTAATATGTGTCATTATTAGCCCAATTGGTGCAGACTAGAAATGAAATTAAACCCCATTTCATTCAATTATGTACCATTATGAAGAATATTCAAATTCATGACCTTAAGTAGTAAATAGATCCACCTACCAACAGGTGGTTCTTCTTTCTTTACTAAATCTTCAGCTGTCTTGGCGGGATCCACCATTTTAACTTGAGGCATTCCAGAAGGCATAGAGTCAACGCCCTGGTCCATGGAGTCTGTGTCAGCTTCATCATCTGATCGTTGAGGATCATCATAAACAAGAACTATATGTTAATAATTTCATTAGGCTGTCCAGTAACAGAAAAACAGAACATAATATAACAAGCAGGGGGGTGGGGAGACGAGACCTACACCAAACATGCTTCTGATCATTTCAATCATACAGAACTTTTATAAGTAGAAATTTAATAGTTTTTCTTTGTTTTATAGCATATTGTAACTCAAATATCTGCATGGCATAATGGCATCAATTTTGAAAGAGTCCATCCGTTAACAATTTATCATTATTATGCACACAATTTTTTTTTTAAGCAACAAAATTTTGCAAAACAGACAAAATGTGATAAGCCAAACATCAATTACCAAAATGAATTTAAAATTTAAGCCAAAGTTATATGACAAGAAACCATGCACAGTACTAACACATTTCATCTAGAATACAATTACTGTTTATTAATAAATGACTTTTCCTCTAGCCTTCTCAACTTGTCTTTATTATCATTGCTTGATAAAGGCTAGAGAACGCTAAACAAAATGATGCTCAGGCAACTGTATTCAAGATAATTGTGTCCGGTACTGGAAATATGAATTTTGTCAAGTTCTGTGTGAATTTGTGAAATATGAAGACTGGCAAACATAACAATATGATAATAGGATAAATAATGTTCAACAATATTCACAAGATTGATATTATAATCATTAATATATAAATCTAAACATATTTTACTTATCATTTACATTGCAAAGATGGAAAGCCTCCAAAGTAGCACCTCAAATCATTTGAATGTAAACATTTTTTAAAGTCCAACCAAAGCCATGAATAGATCAACTCATTCTAAATAAAAGTTTTGAAATGGGGGAAAAAACAGAATGATAGTTTAAAAGGCTTTCCATTAATTGCTTCATATTGTTATTTCTAATAATCATATTCATTCATTCATTACAAATTAATAAAATTGAAAATAGATGATTTTTGTGCATCAGTCAAAATTCTCAATTTTGGGAGTCATTCAATATTATATCCGATATATATATATATATAATGTCAGTAAAAGACGATATTTGCATGTATATAAATAATGTCCGTCAAGGAATAAGAAAGTTTTTTGTTGAGAATTTTGACTGATACTTTTAAAGTCTCTGTTTGTCATTTGATCAATTTTTAATCCTTTGCAAACTACAATATTGTGAAAGTTTACAAGATATGATGAAATGAACTAGGATATGGTAAAAACAAGCCAGTGCTATTATCTACTACTGTATTCAATTTTAGTACATTTTACTGTGGATTAAGCTGTGAAGGTTACAAATGACAATCAGAGATTTTAAATGACAGTAATACTGGTACCTCATTAAATCTGAAAGATATAACCTTTATTATCATTATGGTTGATAGGAAGACATTTTGATTTACCTAAATCTGAAAGAACAATATTGGTGTCAGCCATTACCACATATTTGATAAAACTGGTTAAACACCTTCCAAATAGAATTTTAACACAGAGATTATTGCTACGATAGATGTGTAACGAAGATTTGAAGAAAAGTAATTGGCGAAAGCATAAGGAAAACACGAGTTATCCTTCTATATAACTGACTGAAGTGAAGTAACGAGTGATAACAGATACAGGGCAAACTGACTGTCACTAGATAAGCATACAATGAATAAAAGCAAGGGAATGAATGAAACCAAGGGAATGTATGGGCTATTTCATTTTCTCGTTTCCTCTTATCTAGTAACATCAATTATTTTTATAAATTGTCAGATAGATATCCTCTCATAGTCTCATATAACAACTTCTGGTCTTCGTAGGAATTATCACTCAGTGAGCACAAATTTGCCCATGTATCTGTTATCGCTCGTTACTTCAATCAGTTATACAGAAGGTTAACTCGTGTTTTCCTTTAGCTTTCGTCACTTTTGTTTCTTCAAATCTTTGTTACGCATCGATCATAGCAATCATCTCTGTGTTAAAATTCTATTTGGAATGTGTTTAACCAGTTCTATCACATATGCATAATGGTTCACACCAATATTGTCTTTTAAGACACAAGCTTCCTACATGCATTTTCCTTAAATCATATTAAAAATTTGAATATTTATTTTAAAACGGTTTCGTTGTATTATTGTGTTCTAATCATTCTTATTTTTTTTAAGTTCTTTCGCTGCAAAAAAGTATCTAAATTAATAAAAATTTAAACTATGCATGCTAATATTGCTACAACACTGAAGACATGAAAAATGAACAAATATGATTAAAGTGAACTATTTTATACAAAAATTATACCACTGCTGTTGAAATATACCCTCGTTATTAATATTATCAATACAATTATGTTCAGTTTATTGTTATCAATTTAGTTTAATAAATGGACCATAATCAATCGAACATTAAGAATATGTAGGATGTTCTAAATTGAAGTTTCTTTTTAGCCGATTCCAAAAACGCTAACCTACCAGTAGAAATAGTAAAATCCTATTGATACATGTATTAAGAGTTTGGAATGGGTAGAAAGGGAATTTTCAATCAAACCTGAAATGCATATATGTATTTTAAGGGAGCTGTTTTAAACCAGTAAAAAGAGACTATTTTCCTTATGACTTGCAATAACAACAGGGGCTTGCTGTCTGTCAGTAATACAAAATTAGTCAGTCATAATTTTGACCAAATTTTGACAGTAAATCCCACGACTGCAGAAAATGTACAGCCCTAGGTTAGGCACAGTTATAAAGTGAGAACTAAAATATCAATAATGTATGTAAGGAATGTATACAGTCTAGTTCCAGCCATGCAAACTACAATCACATTCAAAGCCATCACAATGTATTGAAGCCTTGTGAAATTTTAACATGCAATAAAGTGGTATACAGATTTACAAATCTATCTATATGGTGTTGGTGCTTTTTTAGGTACCAATCTCTACAACAACCTAAATTATATCATCTTCTTAAATGGGAGTGATCATTCATAACATTACTATCTTTATTTAAGATGCATGAATTTATTGGTCATGGCTAAATCAAATGAGAGATAATAACTGTCACAGAAAATTAGGAAAATAGATCACAGGTACTAGACAAATGAAGAGTTTGTCATACTGTACTTATGTTCTTTTGTAACTGACAATCCATAACTTGTTAGTATTGTTACTTTTTTTTTTGCAGCTATTTTTGCAAATGTTGAAGACACAAATTTTGAATAGATAGTGGCATTTCCAAATGCCTTTCTTTCGTTTCTCAACTGTCACTGCAGCAGATCTTTTATGTGTGCTACCATGGTCAATCTATACACCCCAAAACTCTTTTTTTGTGCCTTTTTTTTGTTCATTCCATGGTTCTGTTAAAATTTATAATACGGCAGAAATGTTGTAGAGATTGGTTTGGTAGTGAATTTGTTTTCATTTGTGTTTTATCACTTTCCATTGTATATTCAAATATTTTCTTTATAGGAGGAGATAAAATTTAAAAAAAATTTGTTTAAATTACATACAAGAAACAAAAAGTCCTATAATTTAAATTTTGTTTGTTTATCTTTTGAATACAAGAGTAATATCCCTAATAAATTTAATGTGGTCAAAATTTTATTTTTTCACCACTTGATCAATTATAATATATGTATCTCTCAAATCAATGTCAAAATCATAAAAAAAATTATAAACTATTTGAAGATATTAACATCCCAATTTGAAGTTTATAAAATATTTAGAATGCTATTTAAATAGTGGAATCGTTCATTGGAATTTAAAATAAAATTCATGGATTATGATTATTTTATAGACATAAAGTTGTAAACAAAATGGATACATAAAATTAAAATAAAAAAGATCAGCTATGTATCATAAATAAAAAAGACACATTCTGCCATACTAAAACCAATCCATAAATGCAGCTAAGATACATGTAACTCAAAAAATGACAACAAAAATTTGGATTTTTTAAGGGACAAAAGTACCACCCTCTGCCTAATCTCATAAAATAAAAAAAAACTAATCTCACAAAATAAAAAAAACTATGTACCAATAAATTAAAAACATATAATCAAATTAGTTACTAGAGAAAATTAATAAAAAGAGTCTGCGTTGTTCGTTTTTTGTTTTTTTTGTGTTTTAAATTGCTCTCAGTAAATTCTGAAGATGTGTTATGTTTGAACATTGCACCATCTCCAAAGCAAAAAGCTATAAATAAAGGATTGTTTTTGCATCAAAAATATCATTACAAAATCATATTTTCATAATTGGTAATCAATACTTTTCATTGCTCCCTTGAATGTATCTTCAGAACAATCAGCTATATCACTAACTATACAGATTTAAAAAAAAAAAGTTTATTCTCTTATTCATAACCTGCTGAAATTGTCACTTGTCAAGCACAATTTTCTGTTTAATTATCATTTACTGTCAAATCAGTAACTGATGATTTAGATAATCACATTCATCACAAATATTCTATAGTCATACCAGTGGCAAATGATCTATACTGATATCATTGGCAAATGATATACTACAGATCAGCAACAAGTGATCTGTCTGACACTATCAGTAACAAATGATCTGTATAGTCATACTGTATAGTCATACTAGAGTAGAACACATACGTATTGTCAACCGAATAACTAACAAATTGTCTAGTAACATCAGTAATTGCAAACTTGTTATAAGAGTAACAACAACAACTGAACTGCCTGAGCAGCAAAATAGTGGGTTTTTGGCACATCTTTTCTTGATTTTCCGAATATGATTTTAAAATTTAGCATTTACGGTACTGTAAACCATTCTCCTTGCTTGTGTTAAGTCTAGTTGCTGATGGTGTACATGTACTACACTTTTATTAAACATAAATAATATATTCATACTTTCCAAGAGATGGTCTAAAAGACATACTTATGCTTATAGCTCACAATTCAAGCAAGCAAATTGATTATTATTGACATAAAAGGGAGCAATGAAAATAACTAAATAATACTTTCCTACTTTCAGAATATTTACTAGGCATTGATTATGTTTGTTATAAATGCACCTTCCTTTTGGGTTTTACTAACTTATTAACAGCTTAATATAAACGGTAACATATGAAAAGATGAAGAGACAGAAATAATACCATGCAAAATGATAGAAAAAAAGAACAGAAATTTAAAGAAGCAGGGGTGAACTGAAGTGGAAAAACTAAACAGATTATCAAATAATCCCACCATCATGCATTGATAAATATGTTTTCTCAAAAGGTCATTTTGTAACTTGTTATAATTCACTCGCATATTTTATTTAATGTTAATTTACGTTGTATAAATTAAAAAAAATATAATAATAATAAATTTGGAAGCACTCACAAGACTTATGTTTTTTACATTCGATATCTTTAACATTGATGTCCACAAATTCACAAATAAAAAAAGCTTTATAGGACAAATTTTTTTTTAAAAAATTCAAAGTTATGATACTATATGTAATTCAATAATTTATTTTATATCGTTGAATGTACCTTCCTCAAAACTGGTATGTTTACAGATAGCTTTTAATCAAAGTAACGCCCTTCCAGATTTATGTAAATCAGGATCACCTAGTCGTTATTACAATACCGTGTCATGCAATATTAGTGTTGCAGTGTACATATATGTACTATACTGTTAGTTAAACTACGGTAGGACGTGCAATACATACACATAATAAGCTGATTTGTTGGAGTTCCATAAACAGAGTCAAAATATCAATTCTTATTTTACTTAAAAATCTGAAATCTTTGATAAAGAAAATATCCAATAATATTGCTGTAACACGTATGTGCCCTCGAACTGACGAAAAATATGCAAAGAGATTAATTAAACAAAAAAACCTTATTCGTTTAATCATGTCAAAAACGGAATACAGATATTTTGGCTCTGTTACTTCACAATTACAGCAATAAAAAAAATAATCTATCTAAACAATAAAAATCGCATCCAATCAGAGAGCACTGCAATGAACATGTGACTTATACCTTCATCGTCATCATCGTCATCAAAAAATTCATCATCCCATTCAAGATTAGGGTGCGAAAACTTTGGAGAGCCGAAGCGCGGAGAACCCTGTTGAGACGAGCCTGAGTTTGGTAAGAAAATAAAGGATTGAATGTTAAAATCTCATGTGTAACTCGTTGAAATAAATAAATTGAAAATGTAAAAAAAAAAATTCTATTAATGTTCATATAATCATAATTGTCTTAGTTCTTTTTCTCTGATCATTGCAATTTAGTTCTCAATAAAAAGTTATTCATATTAAGTGTAGCAATCTATTGTTATTTTTCGTAACATATGGTAATTATGCTGCATACACAGCCAAGACAAATTTCAAAATGATTTTATTCACTTCCTAGCCATACCATAAAAATTAGTTCAAATTATTAGTCATTTTGGATTATATTTGAAAAGCATTCCTTTTACATGCAAATTTTTTTCATCACTAATCTAATCAATGTTTTCCCAAATTTTTTGAATATATTCCATTCACAGTATTACGATCCTTGCTATAAATAATAAATAGTTATAGTAATATAAATGTCTTATAAAAGTTCACAATTTAAACCATAAAGTTAATATTTGGATCACATTTTGAGCATTGATGTACCGAAGCCTAGTATCTAAAAATAAATAACGTCACAAGTATACAAGAACACAGAAAACAATAAAGTTAGACATACCAAAACGTGAACTTTCCGACTCAGAGCGATCATCTAAAATGTAGCAATTAAACAACATTTTAGAAAAGACCCCAATAAGTTAAATTTAAATTATCCAAAGGGGGAAAGGTGATAAGTTTTAATTAGTTTCAAATTCGAAAAGTCAACGAAATCCCATAATATTAAACTAATATTTGTATTATTCATTAAAATTATTTTTAAAATCTAAGTGAAAGTTATAAATAGAATTAGTAGGATTTAGTAGTCAAAGTTGGAAAGCAACTATTATGTAAAAAATAATTAGAATTAGATATATTAAATGCTGACACGTGATATTCATTTTTAATAAAGTTCAGTTAACTGAGTGAAAGAATATTTCTATTGTATACTTAAAATTCAGTTCAATCATCAGTGCTACGATTAATTTAGATGCAATTTGTTAAATTGAAAGATAAATTGAGTATTTGTTTTTTTAATGATACAATCCTACAGTGATTACACACGTTTGAAGAAAAGTTATTTGTTTTAATAAAGTCTAGAAATGTTAATTTGTTAGTTGTACTGAAAGAAAAAATGATTGTCACATTTTTAAAGTAACAACGCTACGGCCATATTTTGACACTTGGTACAAAATTAAGCTCATATCGTAATTGACAGTCCATCAGTATCCAAACTGTTTTGTATTTATTATCTCTGGTAGTACCCTGTCAAATCAACCAAACCTCACAATCTTATTGTGCATGCGCACATGACACAAAGATTACAAAATGTAATACACAATAACATAACCTTTGACCTAGAGTTGATAATTAAGCGCTCATGGTTGTCTTAAATTCTAGCTGACAATTATCTTAACTCAAAATCCTCTGAGGAAGGTGCATTTATATTGGCTAGTTTACCAAATCCAAAATACCTCTGTATACAAATATCAATAATTTTATAGAAAAAAAATAAAATACAGAAAAACAAAAATAATACCTATCTCCAAGCAATAACAAAAAAAGGAAAAAAAAACCCTACACAACGGGAAGGCAACCCTCTATCAAAGGTGATAATCTTTTGTTCAAGGGAGATAACCATCAAAGGGAGTTAACTTACCGTAATAATCCCAGGGACCACGTGCTTAGAGAAGAGGAAAACATGAATATGAGATGTTAGTATATTCAACATAGGACAAAATAAAACACAAAATAAGGCCAACAAAATCTCTCACACAATATGTACCTAACTAAGCAAATTCTTAATTAAAAATAAGGTAATTTCTAAATAATTTACATAAATGACATGCTTGTCACAATTAATTAGACCATGGTCATGCTATGTGTCTTCTTTTTTGGGGGCGTATAATATAAATAAATGCAATGCGACATGCTCTTTTAATATTGTTTGGATCTGTACTCAAATTAAACAATGGTATATCATTACAATGCTATAAATCATTCTAGAAATCATGCAATATCTGTTTCTTTTGCCAATTTTGTTCACAACTTCAGAAGATTGGAGGACCAAATAATGTCTTATGAAAGTACATACTGTATTAATTATTTAGGTGAAGTATTGTGTTGACCTTATCTTAAAATTTATAAATTATGTACGGCATTAATTAACAATATTTTCAATCTTTAATTATATACATATCGCTAATACTCCGAGATGGTTTATAATGTAGAAACAACACATAATGTTAAACCCTACCTCCCACTGGAGGTCAAAATGTTTGAAGCTCCGACAAGGCTTGTCAAATGATGACAGTTTGCATAGAAATTGTGTATTGCTGAACAATGCTAACAGATACAAGAACAAAGCAGCAAAACTACTTTTGTGACATATCATTTTTTACTTAATTGACTGTAACCTAATTTTGAGTTTGACACCCTTAAGATAGCAGAATTTTCGTGTTCAACGATAATGCAAGCCAGTAGAAACATACTTGATCAACCTTCTTCACGGAGCGGGCAAGAAGAATGCAAATGCTGATTGACTCTCTTAGTCTTAGAAGAAGTTTGATATCAATAAGATCATTTAAATTTGTGATGTAACAGTACACTTCTACTAAATTCACTCAATTATGTTAAAGACAAAAAATTCTACTAAATTCATCCAATTATGTTAATGACAAAAAATGCTGTTTACTAGTTTATAAAAATCATGTATGGACAGACAGACGGACAGAGATAATATATATATACATAGTATATACATCTATTTTCAGTCCTGGGGTATAAAATACAAAATGTTTAATCAAAAATCATGCCATAATAAAACAATATATTATACCACATACAGTACAATCAAAATAACTGACAAATCAGCCAGTAAAAGGTATCTCACTTGATCACACACCTATTCATCTACAGATCGACCAGTATCATCTATAGTAAGTGGTGCATAAAAATGCACTATATATCACTTGGTACAAAATACTTTCAAACTGTACTACCGTATGTGTTACAATTATCATCATGTTATTAATGATATATAGTCCATATAAAGTGCAATTAATACTGAATAAGGTATAAGGAATTCATGATCAAGACTAGAGAGAAAGGCATAATTAAAGACAACATTAACATGTAGGTATCATAGCATTGTGTATGCAGTTTTGATGTATATCAGCTTTACCAAATAATGTGCATGCAAGAAGATCATTCCTTTAGAGGCGAGTTACTTGTTTTTAGAGTACATACACTGTCATCTTCACCTCATCCATGCACTTGTACAAATATATTCAATTTGAAATTTACAAAATATGTGTCTTTGTATTATACAAAATGTGCTGTTTTGTAATCAAGAGACAAAAAGTTAATAATAAAATGAAACACAAAATTTAGACATTGTTAAGTGGATTGCTTAAATGGGAAATTATCAAAATAATAATAGTAAAATAGTATCAGTGTCCTTGGAAAGAGAATCTAGAAGGCCATGCTTTCTCTTTTAATGTTGAATGTGGGGATAGGAATTTGTATTGGTCAAAAACCATTATCTATGTTTTTAAAAACTCATACAATATATATGAACTGTAAAAAGATAAAGGAATAAAATTGTCTAACGAACATGCAACTCGAGGAAAAATAATTCATAAACTTTGAATATCTATTTAAATATGGAAATGTGGAGTTATCTGGAGTTTTGAATGCTAAAATTAGTTTGATTTCATTTTTAATAACTTTATCAAACTTTCAAAGATGATAAGCTCATGCTCAGAAGCTTTAGACTTGGTTTCTAAAATGTGCAGAAAAATCAACTTTGGAAAAAGAAAAAGTTACAACATTTTACAGAAAAACTAAAATAAGGATTTTTAATATGTACTGTTACTTACTAGAAGGTCGACGTCGGGATCCTGATTATTATAAAAATATGTATTTTATTTCAAAACAAATGTAAATGTCACATAAATTTTAGATCTTCTGAGCTAAAATATTTTTCAAATTAGGTAGAAAAAAGTGTGTGTACCTAACCTCTGAGATTCTGTTATGTCATAAAATACATATAGTTTTGTTAATTTATTTTGTCTATTTCACGATTTTAAAACTAATTAAAAAGTTAATTCAATATGTATCAAAGTAACTGACCACATATCAAACCCTCTTGACAAAATATGAGCAAACGTTGCTACCCCTGTCCTTTGAATATAATCAAATCCATCGAATCTTGTTACAAGAAGAAATCATCATAATACTACTGTGATGTGATCCTATTTAATGCTGAAGGATAGTGACATATGTAGTAAAAATTTAGGAGTGCCCTGGCACTTATCTCATATCGCTCAGATGGTCATTACAAAGATTTCAGTTGATTTCTTACATCAAACCTTTTTTGGATTTTACAACAAGGCAACTTCTTGCAGTTATTTGCATGTTTGTTTGAAAATGAAACACAAATTCCTTCTTTCAAAAGCCAATGAAATAAAATCCGTTCTAAAACAGAATATAATAGATAGTTTACTACCAACAATAATTATATTACACAAAATTATTTTGTAAAGTAAAAATACCGAAATAGTTCTAAATAAAATGCATTAACAACAATGTACCGTATACATGTACAACACCTATTTCAAGGTGATCTTTGAAGGGTGGACTAAATATATTAATGATTTAGAATCCATATATTTATTATTATTAAAAGTCATCTCCGCTACTATATGAACTAGGTATACATTCCATTCTTTAATAATAAAACCTCATACCCACTATCTATCATATATTTTTAATATTATTATACAATAACAAGTAAGACTTTTAATTACAAGACCTTAACCATAAAGATGCTTATATTTGTATAACAATGGGCTAGAAATATAAGTTAAATATCATTCTTGTTTGTTCAATTTTGAAATTTCAAACTTTAAAATGTCTGATTTCCAACCTAGATGTATAAATGCACAAAATTCAGTTATTTATTCATCAGATTTAATCAACAGGGGAAAAAACCAGTTGACACATGTTGTTAGACAATGTTTCAAAAATTAACAAAACAAGAAATTCTGACATTTTACATAAAATTATTCTACATTGAAAAGTTTCCAGACATATATTTGATGTTAATATAGAAATTATTATCATATATAATGTAAGTAATCAGATGTCTCCCATTTCCAACATTTATTGTAACTTTACCTTTTTGATCAACAGCACTATCATTTAAACTGAAATATGAATCTATTTCCAAACTCGACATATTAATTCAAGTCAATTGATGACTTTTCTAGTTGATCATAAATCACGATTTTTTCTTTTAAAATACAATCAAAATGTAATATTTCATTTTATTCAACTATCAGTATCACTAACATGTCTCGTCTTGTTCAAAGAATTTGCTATGGTGGTGCAGTTAGCTGTCATTCCCGCAAGTGTTATGAGAAAAGTGGGAATCAAGTATGAAAACTTCTGAATGTTCTTCGCATTCAATACTTCAGGATGGAGAAGATTTGTTTATCCACCAATACGATACACTCCCCCCACCCCTTAGTTACTTAAACTACTAAAGATAACAATACGAAACTGCATAATATATACTGACCATCTTTATCAACGGGTTCTGTATTTAATGTCTGTGTTTCTTTACTATAGGAAACTTGTTCTCTTGGGGCTATACTGGTTTCATTTACTTTACATAAACTTAATTTTACTTTAGATCTCGAGCTGAAAGAAACAATATGAACTTCTTAAATTGACCTAACTGCCAAAATCTCATTTCTTAAAGTCAAGTTGTAACCAGTCTGAGTGAAAGGGACTCAGAGTGCTACAAACTTTCATTAACGTTGACCTGGATAGCAAAATCATTTGTTTTGTAACAATTTCTTTCGAGTAGATGGTGATTGGTATATTGTACCTGTCTGTTGGTCTTATAAAAAAAAATATATACTTGGGAGTTCAAACATCAAGTATCTGGATGATAAATCCCATGACTGTGCAAAAGGTACAGTGATGGTATAATAAATTGAGAAGTTGTTCAAGTATTGACAATATATTTCTGGGCCTGGCATTCTCCGATTTAAGTTAAGAATTTACTCAACTTTCAATCAATGTTTATTTGAAATATCTTTGACCCAGAAACACAAAACTTTTCACATGGTTTCTTATTGATGTATTTGATACATAAAAACAACAAAAGTTTTATAAAGGGCTATATTTTAGTTAAAATAAGAAACAATTTTGAGTAAATTCTTAACTTAAGTCTGAGAATGCTTTGTGAACTTAGGGCCAGGGTCTATACTTGTATAATAATATCCTTGGTTTTTTTTCAACTGTACATTTCAGGGTCACTGTGTCACTTGATTAGCCTAGTAATGATATTTTATTTATTTTTCTTTCAAATTGCTGTGAAGGAATGAGAATAAAATGGACATGCTACACATAGACCTACTTCGCTATTGCAAAGATAAAAAGTCTTAAAACATGTAAACAATGAAAGCAACATACATCAGTCACTTTCGGCAAGAGAGAGAGAAATGGGGTTTAAGTTTTAACGTCCACTTGACACAAACTAAGTCATTTTGGGACTAACATGGTCCAATTTTATTTCAATAATTTGCTTATGTGTAGGAGTCTTTAGCAGTGGGAGGAAACCGGAGGACCCAGAGAAACTCCATGTGGTGGACTGGTGGGACAGGCAACCCACTCCTTGTCACATACAAGTGAAGAATCAGTGACAGACCTTATGATGCATCGCTTACTTGTTAACCAATCGGCCACCCAACCCCCCAGGTTACTTTAGGTATATGAAATTGAGATGTTTTACATTGCAAGGTTTACATATATAAGTCATGGAAATACTGATTGAAACTTATCAAAAGGCAATAATATTTAGTATTTACCTGGTTTTGACAGTATGAACAACTTCCTCTCCCCCTGAAGGTGATTTTGTTACTACAGTTTGAACTGTAGAGGCTTCTGAAAACAAAATTTTGGAAAATATTTTTTTTATGACCAGGTTATTAAATTATTTTTTTTTAAAAAAAAAAACTTTTCCAGCTCTAGCCATGTTGATTTCTCACTATATGTTACATATTTCATAGAGTTTATAGTAACAGTTTTTTTAAAAGCTATTTTAATATTCATAAACAGAACAGGTAGCTAGTCAGCTCAACCCACCAGCTCAGGAATCCCAGTTAACAGCTTCAGTTTCAAAATTCCTCTTCTTTCCTTGGTGCAGAACAGTAGAAGATTAAACAAGTTAAACTCCATGACAATTAAAACAACTCTGTCTTTTAATTCAAAGAGGAGATTAAAATTACTGAACAAAATGTAGATACATGTATCAGGATATGATGGTAGGTGGGGTGGGGTATATTGTACCTACACATGTTCAAGGGTACAAGTATGCATACTATACCTGGAATTCCCAAATTTCGAAGCAGATCATCTGTCTCAGATCGTAAATCTTTCTGTGGCTTTGATTTGGTGTCATCTCCTCCCTATAAAAAAAACCCCAAAAAACATTATGCAAGATTTAGATAAAGAGCTAGTCATTCTTGCTATAATAGTTCGAAAATAGATACATGTAATGCCAAATGAATATATTGAAAATTTCAACAAATTACTCTATTGCGAGCGAAGTTATTAGCCTTTAAAGGTTTGACAAGAGATTCCAATTTTTTCCCCCCAGATTACCTTAATTTAGTTTCATATTATATGGCCGAGTTACGTAAATTCGTGCGTTACCCTATATTTAGATTTCAATGTTGTCTGCCAAGTCGTTTAGCAGAAGGGATCTTATTTTTAACATCATGTTGAGTTGCACATACCAGTACTGACACTAGCGAGGTAAGCAAGGTCTTATTTTCTCAATTTAATGTTCCTTTTCACACGACCGTTTAGCAGTAAAAAGTTGCCCAGTAAAATTGACTGGGGGTGATTTATTTTCGAAAAGGATTCAATAGGACGGTTCCTGAACGTACAGGGCAAGTACTGTATAGGAGCTTTTACGCGTGACGTACTTCTGGTGTCTATTTTTAGCCTGGCCTTTTTGTTCACGTATCTTCACATGGTAAACGCTAAGGAAAATTTGGTTTGTAGTCTTTTTCTTTAAATAGAAAACGTATTCTTGAATGCCACTCTCGCCGTAAGATGCGTGTAGCATTCGTAATAAATTACCCATTTTAAATCATGTCTAAATTATTTTTTTTTTCGTTTTATTGATATACTGCATTGTAGCAGACGATGAGCACGGTACAGTTGATCGCTGATCGCTGTACGCATAAGCATAAAAAAAGATGCATTGCTGTATGAAGCCGATTTATATGTCGTGTACAATTTTAATTAAAATAGATAACATCTGTTTGGTTGTAAAATGCCACGAAATAGAGCATAAGAGTAAATAATAGAATGGGTTAGAGTGGTGACGCTGCGGTTCCACGAAAGAATTATTCAAGACGATATTAAAATTTAAGCACAACCGTAGCACATCTAAAAAAAAGAGAACAAATAATAATCACGCTGTAAAAAATAATTCTGTATAGAATTATTTTGAAGTAGATAGCCGCAAGGACCAACACAGTACCGTGTTTTTTTGCAGAGTATAGCATGCAGCGCAAAAGCAAACGATATATCATCAACCTCGCACGTACTGTCCAGTCGGCAGTTGAATGTAAACAGGATAGACTATTTAAATCTTTTGTGTTAATAGTCCTGTAATTAATAGATAACATCCACTTGTTTTCCTCAATTGCACACAGCCATTACGGGTCTGGTAAACTTGCCATATCTTTTTCTACATCAAAGTTTTTGTAAATAAAATTTCTGGAATCGGTTAGTAAACCATGTACACGTATGTAGAAATGGCGATCGGTTCCATTTATGTAAAACAAGCTTACTGTATGACGGTATTTTCACAAAAAACACACACAATGGCCTATAGCCTATGGGTTTCAGTCTACGAATAGGGCCAGGGTCTGCACATGACCGAAAATGACGACAAAAGGGAAACCTGTAAAAGCTCCTATAATATGAGACCTACGTTGAAAGCTGAAATAATTCAGACCAATCAATAGTTATTTTTGTCCAGTAATATGTAAAATATACTAGGCCTAATAACATATCAATATGCAATAAATGTACACAGAATCTGAGAATCAAGCCAAGCCTAGAAAATCAATATATTAAAGGCTATATATATAATTATAATGGAAGACGGAGAAAACCGATGGTGAAAAGCAAATTTTAGTCTGGTTCGGACCAATTAATATCTATTTTTGTCCAGAAATATGCAAAATATATGCAATAAATTAAATGTACACAGAATCACGCGCAAGCCTAGAAAATCAATAAAAATGGAAGATTGAGAAAAGGCTCAACCGGGTGATGAAAAGCAAATTTTAATTCCTCCTCACCTCTGCTGGTGATGCTTTCTGTCTCACTTTTTCTTGTCTTTCTCTCCTCATTTGCTCGAGGCGAGCTTTCTTTCGCTCGAGCTCCGCCTTTCTATCGGCCATCCTGCTTTGCTTTTAGCAAAATGGATCGAAAAATACCAGCCCAAAGCTGAAAATCTGTCAATTTCTTGTGAATCAGCAAACTACCGGAAGTTGTCAACTGAGCCTTGCGAGCGAGGTATGACGTCATTTCTAATTTTTGGCGAATCAATTAAAGGGAGACAACCACTTTAAAAATGAATGCAATCGCAGTGGGTCCACTACTATTTATTCTGTCATTTCTGTGTTTTTAATTATAGATAAATCTGTCATGGCACCACAGTTATCATTCTTAAAACAAGACACCAAATAATGTACGTTTTAAATCCTAAAGGCTAATCAGAACCAGTGAGACCTTACAACATTACAACGAATTACGAAAGGCAAAATCGTGCAAATTGTAAATTATAATTATGAACAACTAAATGGTATCGTCATCTAGCTTTTATAAAAGAGAAAACTAGATTGACTCAAATATTGTTTTCGTCAATTTTCACTGGAAAGGTGACTTCGTATTTGTTCCCATTAAGGCACGAAACCTCCCGTAAAACATAGAGTTGTCTCCCCTTTACTAGCTGTTGTGTAACCGAATGAACTAGAATTTAGCAAGGATTCCACTGATATATTCCAGATATAGTTGCCTACGAATATGGTAAATTAAATTTTTAAATACTGTCACGAAATTATCTACTCTATGGATACATGTAAGATAATGTCTAGGAATATAAACGAAACTTAATATGGAGAGGATAGTTTTACGTTAATCTTACATTCTATTGTAAGGGAATTAACTCTTTTTAATACACATTCGCCCCTGACTATTAATTGCCTATACCGATTCGGTACTAAAATGATATAAATAGTTGCAAAAACCACACTATTGTCAAATTAATTCGTTGTCTTTCGTTTTTTTTTCAGTAAAATTATTTACAATTATCAATCCAGAAAGTTGTAACAATATTAAGATGTCCAGTCCTGCAATATCGCATATATCGCGAGTTCGAGCCTTATATAAAGCTATATTAAAGTTACACCGTGGTTTGCCGTTACAGATGCAAGCTTTAGGTGACCAATACGTGAAGGAAGAATTTAGACAACATAAAACAGTTTCAACTAATGAAGCGTCTGTATTTATGACAGAATGGTCGGTGAGTTCTATTTCCATTTTAAAACCAGTTCTTGTGTTATACACACGCACATAAAAAGGAAATAAAAGTAGACTGTGCGTCTGTGCCCTCCTGGCAAAGAGTATGTAAAGGCACAATTTGATATAACCCACCAAAAGTGCCTGAGGACACAATGGACTAAATGAAATGGGGTTAATGCTCTACTTTTCTGTTCCAACTGGGCTAATGAAGACCGTTACACCCCCATACCATGTGCTCTTGGGGAAAAGTTTTCCCGAACAATAATTGAATTCCAACTGTCAATGGTTCTTTTACGTGCACTCCAACCTCGTTTTTCGTACCACCCGAACGACTAGGAACTTTTCCTTGCCAGACACTCTGGGGAAACCATGGACTCAAGACACAGTCATACTTTATTTTATATTTTTCAGAAATATTATGTAACACTTGCCCAACAGATTGGTAAGAAGAAGCCGGATCAAAGTAATATTGGTGCTAATTTATCGCCAGAATTGTTAGACTGCTTGGGTGATGATCAGATTGGACAGTTACATGAACTTCTTCTAGAAACACAGAAACCTATTGAAAATTCGTGAAAACGCCCGATGAATAAAAACTAAATCGATGGAAAGGGTTCTTGTAACAAAGATCACCTGAGAAATTATTTGTGAAACCCCGTAACCGACAGTTGTTTTTTGAAGATAGTTCCACAGTTGAATTAATTATTTCTTAGGAGTCAAAACATCTAGACTTAAATCAGTTAAATATTCTTAAAGTACTGACAACAAAAAATAATAGAAAATTATGTTGAAAACTTTGGGAGACTAAAACAACAGTACCACGAAAGAGATATGTTAATTTCCCAATTAAATAACGTGGCATGATGTGTTCTTCTAGGAGAGAAAAGCCAACATATTGGTTACCGTTAGTTCTATAGTGAGTTTGATTTCAAAAGTCGAATATAATGAAATAAAACAAATCTCTACAAATCTTTTTTTTGTAACAACACATTTTGGATAGCCATCACGACGTTTCCACAAAATATAACTAGTCACTATCAGGTATACAAGATTACAAATTATAGTGATTGTTATCCATAGAATTGTGTTTTGTATATTTGGTACAATGCTAAATGCCTTTCAAAGATTATATTTTGGATGGTTTTTTTTTGTTTTGATTATATATGATTTAGTTATAATGTAGTCGCAGTGTCAGGTCATTAACCAAGGCCCACACAAGTACGCGCCGAAGGCGCGCGAACGTCCGGGGGTGGGGAGGGGTCTCCCCCTAGGAAAATTTTGAAAATTGACAACCGCAAATCCATTTTCCAAGCATTTCAGACCAAAGCAGAAGAAGGCAAATTTTTGATTTCCTGATACAATTAGATAACAGAATGACCTAAGAGCACTATCATTAGATGAATTTGAGAATTTGAGTGTCAAAAAAAAGCAACCTTTTATCCTCCGTGATGAAAATAATGCAAATTATAATATACATACAATACACGTGTTTGACAGTTATGTTGACGCACATCACAGACTATAGCGAGAATCTTCGCACTCACAGAAGTATACGAATATCATCATAAGCTCCTGAATCCCACGAGCTTATGATGATATTTGTTTACTTCTGTGATGATAACTGATAATTAATTGTTCTCTAAGAAGTAACAAATTATTTCTTTAGCTTCAAGGATAGCCAAAGTAATCTTCAGGTCTTTTTTTTTCTTTCTCTTTTTTATTTTTTCTTTATAGGCTTAGGCCCACTTTTTTAATGAGCTTAGGCCCACCTGCCACGGACAGGTGGACAGGTGGGCCCAGTCGTGTATTTATGGATTTGCAAATGTGTGTAGTGTTGCTATAAACGTTTCTTATTATTTCTGTGGGTGTAAATGTAATGTATATTATGCAATAGTTATCAAAAGGTACTTTACTCTATGCACTTATCAGTGTACTGTTTTCCATATTTCTTAATGTAGTAAAAGTTAGTCCCGCAAAGGACATTGTTTTTGGGCCATTGTTATCTTGTTTAGTTTAACATATTGAATTGCATAGCTTTTTTCTATATCAAATCTAAAATAATATGCCAAAACTTGCCTTTTTCAAAAGAAATTCTAAAATAATTAACTTTTCCATTGAAAGGATCGTGAAATGAAAGCTCAATTATAATGATTATTTTTTCCTATCGCAATATATTTTCTCGGCAACTTTTGCACCCATTTATTTCATTTCATTTTTGATGGCTTTCTTTTACCAGTGAAAACTCGATTTTTGCACACAAGACTGTCCGTGAAATGGCATCATATAATAGCGTTATCATTGATAAATTTATTCATTCTCCTCATTTAATAAATATTGACAGCGCATTTATTAAGGAGTCTGAAGTACTGGGGCATAGGAAGGGCCGAGAGTGGAGGGGGTTGAATACTCGAGTCCCAACCCAAAATGTACATTTCACCCCGGCACTAGTGGAGTCGCGATGGTTCAGTGAGTAAGACATTAGCTCGCTAATCTGGATATCAGTGTTGGCTGAGAAAGTTCATCAGGATTTTCCGGCATGGTTTTCACCCCGCCCCCCTTGTCAATGGGACGGAGGGCCTCGCCCTCGCAAAGGACAACGTATAGTCATTGAGATGGGACGAACAACCAAGGTGCCGTTTATGCATTGGCGTGTACGCTCATCTTCATTAGCCCAGTTGATGCAGAACAGTAGGACGTTAAATCCCATTTCTTTTCATTAATCAGACAGCTAGTTTTATAAAGCTCCATGGTTGACGGAGTCGGAGTGCATAAAATACGACAAATTTTATATTGTATATATATACCATCAAATCTGTCTATGTCTTGCTTAAAATGTATTGTCTGGTTCGAGTAAGTAGTTATCTACATGTATCTGTTGACTGCTCGAAAGTTGACCGATGTGTCACAAATCTGTCTTAGTTGCTAGAAATCAACCCGATGCCCGATGTCATAATTGAAAATAGAAACACTATAATATAATCTCACTTCTTTTTCTGATTTGAACGTCCTGTGCTTTGTTACAAGGATATTTTGAATGATCTAATTAGATCTACACTGTATTGCATCAAATAATTATTATTTATTATTATTGCAGCATATTTATAGTGCGCCCGTTTATATCACATGTTCAGGGGCACTTTGCAAAGTGACAATATAATCATAGAAAAACACACCAAAATTATGGACATGCTAAGAGTATATATGCAGAGTCAATTGAAAGCCTGTTTAAATAAATGTGTTTCAAAAAATAATAGAGAGGTACAGCATGTTAAACTAAAAGGTAGATTATTCCTGGGGTTTGAAAACTAAAAGAGTGCTGATCATAAGAGACTAGTTGAACGGATTTGGGCTTTAAAGGTAGTTTGTCTGATGTACGTAATGTTCGACCAGGTGTATTAAGTTCTAATAGATCATATAGGTAAACAGGAGCTAAATTATTTAAAAGTAAGTAATAAAATCTTAAAAATCAATTCGATATTTAACATTTCTTTGTAATCCTCTTATTAAGTCAGTTGGTGTGGTTTCAATTCCCAGCTTGTACGTGACAAGGAGTAGAGTCGTCTGTCCAACCTTGTAGGTTTCCTCCTGGTCCTCCCATTGTGCACAAGCGAAGTGGACACCCAAAGTTTTCAAATATTTTAATGTTTAAAAATATGACGAAAATAAAATCCAATGCAGCCTCAACATTAAAGTATTGTCAGCCTCAGCCCCATTTTACACACAGAGAACATCTACTCTACATCGAGAATAGATCTCTGCTCTGTTCTCAAGCGGATCTAATTATTGTAGACAACAGACAGCTTAAGTTTAGTTAATTCCTTTAGGAACGGTTAAGGAAAGCCATAACATGTATGGCTAGATTTTCGAAAATTATATTGTCCATGCACGTATCAATATTTATGTTAAGTTTCAGCCATGTAACTGATGACGTCACAAAAAGCCCCATTTTTAGGGCGTGGTCGGACAGACTTTAGAGCGATTTGACTTGGGGAAGCCCCCAATTTTTGGTTAGATTTTTGAAAATTACATTTTCCAAGTATGGATCTTTGTTTTTGTTAAGTTTCAGCAGTGTAACTGATGACTATATTATTAGCCCTGTGAGGAGATATTGGGCGTGGTCTGACTTGGGGTTAGCTCCGGAAATTTTGGTTAGATTTGTGAAATAATTACTCCAGCTATGGATGGATACCTTTGCTTCTAGAAAGTATATTTCAAAATGTCTGACACTTCTTTGTCGTCAACCACCATAAAGTCTTCGCAATGATCTAATTCGATCAACGAATTGTATCAAATACTTCATGATCCTCTGCCATTGAGTCAAGTGATGTGGTTTCGATTCCCAGCTTGAACGTAACAAGGAGTAGGGTCGCCTGTTCAAAATTGTGGGGTTTCTACTGGTCCTCGCGGTAAATGTCCCCCCACTGCACACAAGCGAATTATTGAAATGAAAAATGTTTACCATGTGTTAGTCCCGAAATGACATAGCCCGTGTCAAGTGGACTCTGACGAAAATAAAATCCAATGCAGTTTCAAAATTATAAATAGAAATATCAGCCTCAGCTCTGTTGGACAACAAAGTGAAAGTAGTTGTGGGAATTCTATGGAATGACGTATGGGTTTTTACACCTGTTGTGAGTTACACTATATAAAGACCATTCGTTGCACAATAAGATATAGAAGAGACGTAGCATCAGTTCTTCGTTTGGTTACTCTGTATGGTAAAGTAGATTAGCTTCACCAGGTAGGGTTGATTATACTTATAATTATTTTTCTTTTTTGTTTTGTTTTTTGTTGGGGTTTTTTTTTTTGGGGGGGGGGGGTAAAGTCTTGTATAGGAAGTTAAAATTTTCGTTTGATGTTTTTTCTATGGTTTGTAGGACTAGGAGAAAGGGCTCATTGCAGAGTGGACTAAAAAAGTGCAATTTGTAGTGTAACATCTTTCATTAAAGTTGCAATAAGCTTACCCATTTCAAAATATGCATATTAATTTGGAAAGTCTGACAGTTTAAGCTTAGTATAAAAGACTTTCAAATAACTTCCATTTTTTACCCACCCATATTGTCGTTAAATGTAAACAGACGTTTTTTTTTCGGATATCGTAGGATGGATTTTAGTTGTATGTATTGATAACAATATTGCTACTTTAAGATGGTCTGTGACATTCTTACTGCCTTGTGGGAAATTATTGAGGTGTGGGGAACCACACCACATCCCACTTTCCTACTCCTAAGATTTTCATGGCTATGAAACGAAAGTGAAAGTTATCTTACATAAAATTCGAGGTAGCCTATATTTAAAGGATGACTCAAAGTAGATAAAATAGATAAATTTATCACCTTTAGTACGTCACCTATAAGAAGTGAAAATAAAACTGCAAATTATATGGACACCACTATTTCGCAATCGACACTTAAATAATTTCGTTTGATTAATAGGCAATACGGGAATCAAGGTTTAGGAGAAAGTTTATCAGCTGTACAAGGTAGGAAATTTTAGGAATATCGATTTTTTTTGCGGGGAGGTTGCATAGGTAGGCTATACCCCAGCTCCACCCCAGCTCCACCAACGGTTCAAATCTAACTGTCTCGGCAGCGAAGAAAAGTTTGGGAAAGTGCAATATTTCGAAAACCCCAAATGGTTGACAAATAATACTAGGGATATTGCAAGTTTATACAGAATTGATAAATAAATTGACACATATTTATCTCTGTATGTAAATTGATATGATTGCTGGACTATAAATTAATACACCGGCCTATTTAACAGATAGTCTGTATTATTTAACCTAAATCAACCGAACACTTAGAGAGAGAGAGAGAAATGGGGTTTAACGTCCACTCAACACAAACCAGGTCATTTCGGGACTAACATATGGTTCAATTTTATTTCCATAATTCGCTTGCGCGTAGGGGTCTTTAGCAGTGGGAGGAACCTGGAGGGCCCGGAGAAAACCCACGAAGTTGGACAGGCGACCCTACTCCTTGTCACGTACAACCGGGGATTCGAAACCACGCCAGTTGACTCAATGTAGGGTTGCAAAGGGTGGGAAACTTTCCGGGAATTTTCAGTGTGGGAATTTTCGGGAATTTTCAAATCTATTTTTAGAACTGAAAAATACTAAAATTATAATTATTTACTGGAATTTCCTTTTTCTCTTTTACTTTCATCTATATAAACTATTAAAACTAGTCATAATGTATAAAAAATCTTTTAGATGGAAAATAATCCCTGCAAGAATTAGCCATAATGGAATCTATCAGTATTGAAAAGAAAGCAATTTTGCCTTAAGCCTATTTATGCCGCTGCCTATATGCTAGATCCCGACTGTTACCGAAATGCTTTACCTCTTGGTGATATGGAAATTGATGAAGCATATGGATTCATTAGTTCCCTTGCATCACACTACAAACTTAATGAAGGCAAAGTAATGGCTAGTTTGGCTAAATATCGGTTAAAAGATGGATTGTGGAAAGGAGGAAGTATTTGGGCATCATCAAAATATATATCTGCATCAACTTGTTGGAAGGAAGGGACTGTGTGCATCAGAAGCTGTTTCGAGTATAGCTTCATTAATTCTTGCAATACCACCTTCATCAGCAGCATCAGAACGTATTTGGTACAACTCATACAAAAGTTAGAAACAGATTAACAAATAAAAGTCTTGAAAAGTTGGTCTGTATAAGATCTAATTTGAAACTCTTCGAAGCTGACAACGATTCTTCCAGCACAGAAATTTCAGATATTCATGAGGATTCATCTGAACCTGAAATCTCCCTTTTATCCACCGATGATGATGTAGATAATGATTTCGAAGATAATAATGAAATGGCAGAGTTACCTAACTTTGAGCATTAATTATAGAATGTGTAACCTGTGTATGAACAATTTAACAGAACTATCTCATTATTAGTCATTAGATTTTAGTATATATGACATATCAGATAATATGTTTTGTATCTTTTAGTTATTAAAATATTACTGTCACTTGCAACTCATTAATAGCGACACAGGTTTCAGTTTATGACACCAAATTGAAAATTCCCAAAATTCCCGGAAAATTCTCCAAATTCCCGGGAAATTTAACCTGTTTCAAAATTCCCGGGAATTTTGCAACCCTAACTCAATGACAGACTAAATGATACAGCACGCACGTGCTAACCATTCAGCCACCACCACCCCCCCAACACTTAGAACTATTACAAGCTATACATTTAACTACGCCCAGATATAACTTTTATCAGGCGGATGGCATATGATATACTAGTCTGGAGGCTCAGTAAACACTATCAAATCAAAATCTCTCCGATTGCTATACATAATGATACTAGTTGGCCGAAGAAAAACGAAACCTGCCAAACTCTTCCCCGGTAACACTTACCAATACGGCATTTATATCCCGTGAGCTGTTATGTTCAATGCATCCGTCGGTTTTATCTGTGTAAGACAGGTCGTTTACACGAATATACACTATTTGACATTTGGTCAACGACCATGTCGAAATAGGTGGAAGTCATACAATTCGATTATTTAAAGTTCAAATAACACTTGGTTATATGCAATAACATGCACTTACGATAAATCGAAATGTTCTTTGAATGTTCTTTCATTTCTGTTCTTCATGGAATACTAACGACATATTGATGGCGAATTCTATTCAGATTCTAAATTGTTGATTGTAAATGTTGCAATTTTAACCTAAAATATGGACATTGTGCTTCTGAAAGCTAAAATATGCGGCTTCAGCCGCCCTTCTATAACACAAACATAAGTTGTCATTTTACAACGTCACATAAGACAAGGTTATGTTGCATTTCTGGATACCTTGTTTTGATTAGCCTATTGGCGTAGCGTATATTTTGCAGAAGTTAGAGATCGGTCCTTAGTCTGAGGATTATTGGTTCTCAATGATTTAAGTTAATTATCTTTTTAGCTCTTGATAACATCAGAAAATCTGGTAGACTCTCTTATGTCTGAAGTGATCACGCGACTGACATAAAATGCACGCACAGTGCTCATTATGTCTAACAATAGTTACTTTCAAATTTATAACCCTTGATAATCTGAAAAATCTTGTGAAAGCAATTTCCCACATGTAATCGACTGGGCTTTTCAAAAAGACAATTTGGAAGTATACAGCCAAGACTAATATTATGGTGATCCCTTGTCCTACATTTGGAACCTGTATTTCTAATATATGAAGGCCTGTTTCGATTGTAAAATAGATATCAGAATCAGAATGATGTGAAAGACATCATGATGGAGGCAAAGTGGTTATGCCTATATGTATTTTGCTTTGCTGTTTTGTTAGATTTAAAAATGAGTTTACCCGGATATAATGGAGGAAGTTTGGAGAAGTTTATTGATGATGTTGTTAGACCCCCTAGTGGATTTTTAGCTGATTTGCACGGGGCTGTTGATATAATTGTCAGAAGACTACACCTACTGCCAGGAAACAGTGTACAAAAGATAGTACAGGTAATTTTATTATTTTGGCAGCAGCGTTAGGGAGGAGTCGGGGAATCTGCGTGAATCAAAAGTATCTAATACATGTACATAATAGTAGAGGACTGTACTCTTACCCGTATTTTCCATCATTAATATCAAGTCTTCTATAGATGCTTATAACTGTCCTGCCCATACTAAACTTAGACTGTCTGTCTACAGTTAGCTACGCCCGAGAACAGACACTAAGTTAGTTGACCGATATTTTAAGTCCTAAACACTAAGAATACTTCGAGAATTTTGGGAAGTAATGAAATTGAAAAGGTTTATTTGATCTTTGTGTGTTTGACAGATGTAAAACGGAGTAAACCGCATTACACCATAGTATTCCAATTTCTGGATATTGCGGCTATTCAGGGCAGGTATGAAGTTGATATATCTCTGTGTGGGTGATTTGCAAATGTTTTATGTAAAATCCTTAACAATCCATGTCTCTATATGACATATCTTAGGAAGCAGACTCTGAATGGTTCTGTGTATGCGAAACAGGTCTATTTAACACCCGGTTCCACCAGGTGATATCGCCAATAATACAAGTTTTTGTTTTAATTGGTTTCAATAGCATCACATTTGGACAACTAAATACAAAAAGAAAAACTTTATGATAGACTAGTAATGTTGCTTAGTGTTTCGTCCACATAATACGTGTACATTGCCATAGCCTGCTTATGACAGACTGAGAAACATTCATCGTCCGCGCCACAACCGCCTGTGTTGTGCCGATCTGTAGCATGCCAAGGGCACGTAACCTTTCATTTTGGGTAAGCCGACGCATATCAAAATTTGTTTTCTGGTCACTAAAACAATTAAACTGATGTTTCCACCCTGGAATTCAATGCCACAATGACTGTAACATTCAAAGTCAGAGTCGTGCAAATCTTGGGTTGGACCCCCATGATGATCCCAAGCATCACCTGCATTCCATGCGGTAGCTATTGGTGCGTTTGGGCGTCACATGTAACTGGAAATGTTTCTTCTGTTAGGTTCTATAGTGACTTTTTTCGTAGTCATTTGCATATTTTAGTATTATGCCCCCAAAATCAAATATCCCCTACTTTTTTTGAATAGTATACTAGTAGCAGTCAGGGACCTGAAAATAATGTACCCACACAGTTACGGGTATCATTTATTTTGCTTTATACATTTTATTAGACTGGTTCTCTTGGTAAAGGCACCGCCGTTCAACAAAGTTGCGATGCAGATCTGGTACTGTTTTTGAATGGTTACGACAGCATGGAGGAGTTCCTGACGAGAAGACAAAGAATATTGGCCGATATCGAGAAATGGTTACAACAGCCAGCGGATCAGATTACGAGAATGACAATAAAGCGCAGAACCCAGTATAATCTAACTTACAACTGTGAGGTAAGATACAGAGGAAAGACTGTAAAACTGGAGATGGATATACTTCCGGCTATTGACGTCTTCAGGAGCAAAAGTGGTGGGGGTATGTATTTTACTCAAACTTTTTACCATAACGAGAATACGCACCAAATTATTGCATTGGTCATTACATGGTACTGACTCCCAGGTGTTCATACGCATTAATACACATAATTCTTTTTAACGTGGTCAGAATAAGGAGTAAAAGTGAATAATGTCACCTAGGCCAATATTACGATTGGTTCCTGTAACTCTTTAAAAATATTATTTTTAAACGACCAAGTTTATGAAGAAAAGAAGTTTATGACCGATAACGCCAGATCAAACCTTTCTGTTAGTTTCTGTAAAAAGCAAAAAGCGATTTTTAGCTTCTGTAACGCCTTTAAAATATGTATTTTAGAACGACCAATTCGACAAGTTTATGAAGAAATGAAGTCTAAGCCCGAGAATGTCAGATCGAACTATTCTGTCAGTTTCTGTGAAAAGCAAAAAGCGATTTTTAGATCTGAAAACTCTAAAGTCAAGGATCTTATCCGTCTCCTGAAATACTGGAAAATGAAAAACAGCAGATCCGTTAAGTATTTTTCTATATGTTTATGTTATCACTTTGGTTACCAATGCGTAGGTCAGACCGGAATGGGTTTTACTTGGGCAGTCCGTCTAATCCAGTGTTTTTCAACCTTTTTTTGCCAACGGCACACCCTGAAACACATGAAAAAATAGTGACACACATGGCTAAATATATATGAAAAATATTTGAATTTTACAAAATAAAAACATGGTAAGTCAGGAGACTTAATGTGCCGTTCAAAATTACGCAGCACACTCAGGAAGATCTCGCTGCACACAGGTGTGCCGCGAAACACTGGTTGAGAATCACTGATCTAATCCAACGGAAATGTCCCATTTGAAGATATACTGCCAATGTATCGCAAACCTTGTAGAAACAGCAAAATTTGTAGGGACTAGAAACGTTTTTGCTCAGATACAATTTTCAACCCCTCAATTTCGGCCTGAAATACAATAGATACAACACTATGTTAGGGCTGGGTTGACGTAGTACGTCATAGGAAAATATCGATACAATTGTTAAGTTAAATATGTGCTAATAGACGCAATAATAAGAAAATTTTCCAACATTAAGAATTTTCTGATAAATTTTCTGCTAGCCTGGAGGTCGGTTGCTCGATCCCTGCATTGGCCGAGAAAGTTCATTCAGATTTTCCGGCGTGGTTTCCCCTTGTCAGTGATGCAGGGTGGAGGGCCTGACAAGGACAGCTGTATAGTCGTTCGGATGGGACGAAAAACCGAGGTCCCGTGTACACATTGGCGTGCACGTATAAGATCCCTTGGCAGTTGGAATTCGATATAAGAGTAGGCCGTAGCGCCGCTGCCTGGGCAAAATTTCCCTCATAGCACACTGTATGGCGTATGCCCGTTTTCATTAGCCCAGGTTAGGAGCAGAACAGTAGGACGTTAAACCCGATAATGGAGGACATGTAGATTGTGCCTTTTGGTATTTTGTAATATTTCATAAAATTAATATATACAGTGTATTGGCAAATCAGTAGTAAGTTTATTATATACCCCCACCCCTGTTTATATTGTCAAACACATGACAATATAAACAGGGGTGGGGTGGGGGTATATAATAAACTTACTACTGATTTGCCAATAAGGATTAATAAATGGATACCGTACGTAATAACATGTTTTGTTTTCTCCATTTTGATATGCCAGGAATGGAAGCTGTCCTCCTATTGTTGTGAGGTAATCGGTGTTTATGTATATTGTGAAAAACTGAACAAAAAGACGAATTTTAAGATGATTGATGGATTTCGACTGGCACTTGAGATGTTGAGTAAATTCGATAATAAACGACTGACTTTTTCAAACTATTACGACCCTAATGAAACCGAATGGTAAGATTTAAAACAACGTGCTTTCGTCGCCATCTTTATTAAGAAGCTGAGGCTACTGTAAGACGTCTTTTAATTTTGTTAACGTTGCAGTTTGTGAATGTTTCTGCATGAATACCACATGCATGAACGTTGCAGTTTGTGAATGTTTCTGCATGAATACCACATGCAGTTTATAAGTTTCTATGATTCCGTGACCCAACAATCTATTATTATTCAAAGTGCAAAATGAACCATTTACGCATTTTCCATTGAATAACTGTACAATCAATATTTATTTAATTAACTTTGCACTTTTAACGCATAAAATCTCAAGAATTATACCTCTTTAGTTCTGACTACTGTATTGCTGTTGTAATATATTTGATTATGTGTTATCGAACACCCTTGGTTTAGATACAATGCTTTCTTTATGTTGTAGTCCGGTGTCTCAAGGGTGAGAATCGCCACCCGAGCTGTGAATTTATAAGAACAAGTTTTTCTAGACCAGTTTTTTGCCTAGATTCCGAATCTGGGTGGTGATCAGGCGTTTTTTTTTGGGGGGGGGGGGCGTTTCCGAGATATGGGAGGGGTGCGGGGGTCTAATTTATACAATGGGGGGAAATGTGATAATGTTGACATAAATGATGATCATGTTATATACTATAAAACATAAATTTCTAGGACTGTCCAGAGCTCATGAAAAGAAACAATTATAATTTAATATTTTGAATGACGAAATTGGCACTGAACGAAAAAGCTAAGGAGAAACCACTGTTGGGGTCAATTTTGAACCAAGTGGTTCTGTCCCCCAAAATACAAGCCCCTCCCCCGCTCGCCAACCCCACACGCCAGACCCACACAATGGGAATCTTATACACATATTTAGCAGCGGCATTAAAAATTAATGTTCTACCAAGCTCTAAAAAATCATCATTACCAACATAAACTCATTTCCCGTCAATTTACCCCCCCCCCCCACCTCAACCCACATACCAATACTACAAATCCCCCTCCCCACCTTCCCACAAATCAAAACATTTGTCAAAGGGCATCATATACCCTTATTTAGAGATGGGCAGTCCTAGAAATTTATGTTTTATAGAATATAACATGATCATCATTTATGTCAACATTATCACATTTTTCACCAATTGTAAACATTGGATCCCCACACCCCTCCATATCTTCAGCCACCGGACTATTGTTTGTGATCTATTTCAGGGTGAACTTGTTTCCAATGACCGCAACCTATATTATGGACCCAGCAAACCCCTTCTCAAATACTGGACCCAGGGAGAATGAGATTCGAAAAATAAAACGGTGTGCGGCTGAAACTTTGGCTTCACTACCACAGTAAGGTATTATACACATGTTTTATACCTGTATACACGTGTGATATATTTGATATTCATGACATACGAACGTTACGCCGTCTACTTACATTTAGCTCCGCACCGCTACACTCTACGATATTAGTCGAAACACCAAATGTACTTGGAGAATTGGAGAAGTATTTATTCTGCTTCCGATAAATAAATAATATTCCGGGTTTGTTTACAGTCATGTCGTCCCTTTTTATTATTATTTTACAGCAAAATTGATTTTGTAGAAGAAAACGGTTTTTTATTTGGGATTACAACCTAACACAGTTAAAAAGGGCATACAGAAAGAAAAATAAAATATGCGGCAAACAGCGTATTTTTTTAACAGTGCAGGACGAAACGCCACTTTCTAGACAAAATTCCCTCAGTTGTATGGTACACGTAACAATAGAATAAATATATCATGTTAGTCTCAAACTGATCGAAGTATTATAGACTAGACTTTATGTTTAATTCTTTATAAATAAGGCGACAGGGTTGGGTTAGAGAAGTTAGTTTCAAACTGATCGAAGTATTGCCTAGACTTTCTGTTTAATTCTTTATAAATAAAACGGTAGGGTTCGGCTGGGGAAGGGGATGGGTGGACTCTTAATCGAGATATCAGGTTCAAATTCTGCCGTGGACCGAGAGGAACTTGTGGTTCTTTTAAATTATACTTGAAACTCACTTATTTAATTGTGAATACCAAACGTGACAGTGCAGCTCAGCGCCATCGAGTAGAACAGTTCTAGACGAGAGGCGCTATATAAATTCATTGTTATTATTAAAGGAGCTAATTCTCTAACTCTAATACTCTTAATTAAAATCATGAATTAAATTTCAATATTGGTCAATTTCAATCCATATTGATGTTATCTTGCAGTGAAAATATAGGACCCTAATATCCAATATTTAAGACACAATTAACATTTTATAATCAGTACACTTTTCGTTTATTCTATGGGTTCGGTGTCATTTTGTAATAAACCAAAAAAACAAAGACAAAAGATATCCTACAAGAAAATGTGGAAGTTATTGGTAAAGGCTGATTCACAAATGACAAAATAATAATACTAAAGAAAGAAGCGTGTAGAATTGACTGCGAAGGAGTAAACGACTGCCGTTCAATTTGAACTGTTCACGTATTTCACCGAACATAATTGATTAGAAATATAAATTACTTTACATACATTCGTATTATATTATAACCGTTGTGGGTGCATGTTATGAAAATCAAATAGCAGTTATCATGGGGTCCATATGAACCCCAGTTATAATTCAAAGTTTTTACGTACAGATTTGAATTGAAGGGTAGCGGTTTGGTTTCTATTTGCATTCATATTTGACATCCCAAAAACATTTTAGTGACATATGGAAAAGAATTAATAATTCTTAAAAAAATGCTGTTTGTGTACTATTTGATAAAGAGGTTAAATGGCAATTCACGCTTGATACAAAGAACACTGAATATTTGGAATTCATCATTTAATCTTTGTTATTTGTAAAAATGTATAGGAGACAAAGTCACTAAGTTTCAGAAAGCAGCGCCCAGTAGTTAGTACAAAACTCTATAATATATGTGCATAGGGTCCGCAGAGACCCCACGTGCACCGACAAGGGTCAACATGTGCTTTTAGAACTATTTTTGTCTATTTCAAGGTTCCAATACACCTTTTAACCAGTGCGCAAGTAAACTGTCCAGCAGATGAATTTGAAAACACGAGAAACAGCAGGAAGTGGACTTACCACACTAAAAAAATTTCTACGATTGAAAATCGTACCAGATGTACATTATCTATTAAAATGTTTTCCTTCCGATTTTATCGTTTTGATTTTCTGCACTTCAACAGTCTGTTTTATACACGTTACTGCACCGCGTTTAAAAATAGATTATGGACGAAGTCTTGGAATGGAGTTGGCAATCTTGACAAGTCATTGTCTCTCTGCTTATCTAACGTGGCTAAAGATTAGAATGGCCTGGCAAGAGACAACATGTCGTTCAGATGGAACGAAAAACATATAGGTCCCGTTTATACATTGGCGTTTATGTAAACGAACCATTGACAGTTGGAATTTGAAATACTGGTAGATCGTATTGCCGTTGTCCGGGTTGAATTTCTCCTATAGCACACTGCATAGCGTATGTCCGGTGCAGAACAGTAGAACGTAAAAAAAACCATATTTCCATATCTCGCATCTATTTGAGTCCCTATGGATTTGGATAGCGAGGTTATCTTCCGCATGCCTTTTGTGACCTCCATAACGACGGATGTCATTTAAATTATGTGTCATTTTCTGGAAAGTCTACACTAAATTACCCTATCTGTAATAAGCCCCGCTAGCATTACAAATTTTAAGCGTCTCAGGAAAGAGGGTCGCCTGTCCATGTAATAAAATAAAACCAAGTACGAACAATCCAAACCATAAGACAGAATTCGAAGTCCTAAAAAACGTTATAGGCAAGCAATTGGACTGCTCCTCGTGTAGAAATTACACGACAAACAGTGGTAACAGGTGTCCGGAAGAGTAAGCTTACCCTGCCTGGCGCCACACCCGCCATAGCTGCATCAGTGTAATCAGCAAATGGACTGCTCACCGTGTACAAAATACACGACAAACAGTGGTAACAGGTGTCCGGAAGAGTAAGCTTACCCTGCCTGGCGCCACACCCACCATAGCTGCATCCAAACTATTAGGCGAAATGTCGGTAAAATAGCGTGATTGCCCAATGAACTATCGGTAGTTCTAAGATGTGTTACGAAAACTAGGGTAATGAAGTAGCTTGCATTATTCTACTACACTCTTACACTTACTTACCGACAGTTATGTCAGTATTCATTGCTGGAAGTAGGGTTATATCGTTTAGTCATCTCGTGCACGGAGTAGTACAATTAATTAACTAGAATAGTGTTGACGCAAAACGGTGCCTATACGAAACACTTACCTAAAAATGGTAATTATCCCGCCCTAATAGCTGACACATCTTTACTTTCTATATAAGAAAGAGCAAGGTTAAATTTCCCTTAAGACATCATTCGGAGTTCAGGGGAACGTCATACCCACGGCCTCTTCGGCTAAGAGGCCAGGGATGCAGACATCATGATGAGACCGTAGAGAAGACATCATCCGTGAGGAACATCATACCCACAGCCGCCTTGGCTCAGAGGCTGGGATAGAGACAATATGTAGTGTTTAAGCCGTTAGGTCTGAGTTAAAAGGATGTTGAACTCAGACCGTGGATATTTTAATAATCCCTAAAGTACTATCTTAGATATCGTAGTCTCCTGTATTTATCCCTTGTAGTTTGCTGTATTCGATATACAAACAGAGTAACAACATAAACGATGTCTGCCCGAGTCAGTTAATTGATGATCGAAATAATTGATTCCACAACGAAGAAAGCCCTAGATGAAAGCGTCACGTCCATAATGTCACAGCTAATTGATGATCGAAATAATTGATTCCACAACGAAGAAAGACCTAGACGAAATAAGTGTCACGTCCATAATGTCACAGCTAATTCCTTTTTGTTGCCGAGTCACAGGATAGTGTCACATCCATACTCGTGCGTTTCCACTTGTCTTCCAATTATTGAAATAAAAAAAGTACCATTTAAGTCCAAAAATTTCCTAACATATTAGCCACACGAACGAAGAATACAATTAACAAATTAAAACAATTTAGATAAAAATCCAGAGCATTCAAGGGCCCTCACAAACCTAAGTGGCGCCCCAGGGCAAGCATTTCAGTGCCCAACCCCCCTCTGGAACTGTAACTGATTTGTTCAGTGCCTGCGCTCAGTTGACTTTCTTGATTTGCTGGGCACAAGCAAATTATTGAAATAAAAAAAGTACCATGTAAGTCCAAAAATTTCCTAGTTTGCGACGAGTGGACATCTTCCACACACAACCAACATATTAGCCACACGAACGAAGAATACAATTGACAAATTAAAACAATTTAGATAAAAATCCAGAGCATTCCAGGGCCCTCACAAACCTAAGTGGCGCCCAGGGCAAGCATTTCAGTGCCTCCCCCCCCCCCGTCTGGAACTGTAACTGATTTGTTCAGTGCCTGCGCTCAGTTGACTTTCTTGATTAAAGTAATTTTAAATACAATTTTTTTATAGGCTCTTTTTAACACTTTATCTAAATAATGATTTATTAAATCAGCTTATATGTAAACTTTTTATGTTTATTTCCCCTTCAACCGTCCATTTGATCGAAAAACCCAATAATATTTCTTGGAAAAAATCATAATTTTGCCCTCTCTATTTGCTGCTATATGAACTGGTTCAGGGGTTTAGGGATGTGAAGGCCGGTGATTTGCTATCTCAGCCTCCATGGAGGCTAGTCCTTAAATATTCAAGTGTTGCCCCCGGGCATAACCCCCCCCCCCCCCGAGCCTTCCACTATGTGAGGGCTCTGAAGTCTTTAAACATTTTAATGTTTAAATGTATGACGAAAATAAAATCCATTGCTGAATAGAAATATGAGCCAAAGCTCGGGTCGACAACAAAGTGAAAGTAAAAGTACTTCTGGGAATTATATGGACTGACGTATGGTTTTTACACCTATAATAAGTTACACAATAGAAAGGTAAAAGATTCGTGGAACAATAAGACGTGGAGTAGACGTAGCCTCAGTATCAGTTCTTCGTTTGATTGATCTATAAAGAAGTTGATAAACTGTACAAGGTAGGGTGTATTTTAGGGTGTATTTTAGGGTGCGTTTGGTGTTTGTTTTTTCTAACCATTTTTAGGATAAAGGACCAACCGCATAGTCGACTAAGTTAAGTGTAATTTGTTAGACGTTACATTACAGTTACAGGGTATATATAATATCGTACTAATTTATAATTATGCAACATTATTTTGGAAATTCTGGGAGTTTAAGTTTCGTTGTTTAAAAGACTTTCAAATAACACCCATTTTTACCAAGCCATTATAGTTTCGTTAATAAATGTAAACAGACATTGTAGCCAACTAATACTAGTCCAGGAGCTAATGACAAAATAATATGTTCATCAGTTACAAAAAATTTGTAGCAGGTGTCGGTACGAGTAAAAATCAATTGGTCAGATCGGGCACTGGTGGGGCGTATAGCCGCAGCAGCACCTTAAAGAAACTCCCAGGGGGCCTAAAATTAAGTCATAAGTTACATGGCTGAAACTTTCTAGGGACAATGGTATCCATACTTTTTAGAAGCAGGTATCCTTAGCTGGAGTAAATATTTCACAAATCGAACCAAAATTTTCGGGGCTATCCCCAAGTCAGACCACACCCAATATCGCCCCACAGGGCTTTTTATATGGCCATAAGTTACATGGCTGAAACTTACGAGAAACAAAGATCCACACTTGTTAAAAACAATTTTCAAAAATCTAACCAAAAATTTGGGGTCTTTTCCCAAGTCAGATCGCTCTAAAGTATGTCCGACCACACCCTAAAAATATGGCTTTTTATATGGCCATAAGTTACATGGCTGAAACTTACGAGAAACAAACATCCACACTTGTTAAATACAATTTTCAAAAATCTAACCAAAAATTTGGGAACTTTCCCCACGTCAGATCGCTCTAAAGTATGTCCGACCGCACCCTAAAAATGGGGCTTTTTATATGGTCATAAGTTACATGGCTGAAACTTACCAGAAACAAAGATACACACTTGGTAAATACAATTTTCAGAAATCTAACCAAAAGTTTGGGGGCTTTTCCCAAGTCAGATCGCTCTAAAGTATGTCCGACCACACCCTAAAAACGGGGCTTTTTATATGGTCATCAGTTTCATGGCTGACACTTACTGGAAACAGAGATCCATACTTGGAAAACTTATTTTCAAAAATCTAACCAAAAATGTTGAGACTTTCCTCTAGTCAGATCGTCCTAATGCCCACCTGGCCACACCCTAAAAGTGGGACTTTTAATATGGTCATCAGTTACATGGCTGCAGAGAGAGAGAGAGAGAGAGAGAGAGAGAGAGAGAGAGAAATGGGATTTAACGTCCATTCGACACAAACTAGGTCATTTCGGGACTAACATACGGTTCAATGTTTTATTTCAATAATTCGCTTGCACGTAGGGGTCTTTTAGCAGTGGAAGAAAACCGGAGGACACGAGGTTGGACAGTCGACCCCACTCCTTGTCACGTACAACCGGGGATTCGAAACCACGCCAGTTGACTTAATGACAGGCCTTATGATACAGCGCGCACGTGCTAACCATTCGGCCATCCAATCCCACTACATGTCTACAACTTACCAGAAATATTGTTCCGTGCATGAAAAATGTATTTTTCGAAGATCTAAGCATAAATTTGGGGCTTTCCCCAAGTCAAAAGGGCCTTAAAATTGCAGCCCCACCCCCTCTATATAAATCATCTAAACATATTTACATTTTAAAAAGTTTGAAATTAAATAACAGTGTTGTAGTATGTTTTATAACTTGGGTCTGGCAGTTTCCATGGTGATCATTAGAACAGTTTATCTCAGCGCCACCAACAATGAACGTTTTTATCTCATAATATAAATATTTTAAAATTTGTACAATATAATATTCTATAGGTGTACATGTATTGTATATAATTGTTCAGTTACAGTGTCTTATAGAGTACAATTATTTTGTTTTCTTCCACACAACAAGAATGTAATTTTTACAGTCGGAACAAATTTCATTCATTTTGCCAGTTGAAGCTTAAGAACTCATTAAAAAATGGAAATTGAATAAGACGATTGTAAAATCAATCCAATTGGTAATATAACTGAAATTTCAAAATATTCTGAATTAAGGCATGAAGTCAAGCAGTAATATATATATAA